GTCTATAACATCTAGGAACAATGACCAGTGTGTTTTGATTTCTATTGCTATAAGATTAAGTGATTTCTCCTGTGGTAAATTCTAATTATCATCGCACTTCTTCGAACTAAAAACAATTTCTCACTTCTTTTCCAATAATCCTTCGAAGTTAAATGTTGTCTTATCTCGCATAATCACTGCACGCACCAGAATTTGATTAATGATTAGTTGAGCTGCTAATTCACCGGCGAACCCTCTTAGCACGTCGTTTTCTACTAGTACGTTCCCTGCGTTCATCAGGCTGATGGACTAAGTGACTTGCTAGAAACGTAGTCCGTGGAAGACGCTAATGAAAAACTAGATCTATAACAAGTTGCCATTGTTCTAATTGTTGGAAGTGGATTGGAGCTTCACGTTCGGTTTGCAGTAAATTGAGTTCGGAGCGTCTTCAACTATTTCTTGTGCGGTGCTCTGATGGGATATCTGAGAGATGAAGAGTAATTCAATTAATTTCAGATTGGAATTGAGGAAATTGATTGCTGCATTCCTAGGCGTTCCAGTCATTTTGTTTGAAGTTATTATGGTGTTTTTTGAGGATAGAGAACGTTCGAAACCTTCAAAAACTTTGTCGATAGGCATGATATAAATATTCAATAGAATAGGAAAAAAATTTTATTCAGGAGCAATTCATTTGAAATGATTTCAAAGCCATTTACACTGGAATAAGCTTCGAACTTTGATATTTAGAATTGAATGGGTATATACTCTACATTTCCTTAGAAATGTGTATTCTGTATCGAATTTTAGATGTATTTACCCTACTACTATATCACCAATAATCCATATCTGAGTAGTGGGCACTTTATTGTCAGAGTTTCAGCTCACAGAACCGCTTCTTCACAATAGCTCCTTCAGTGTACTAACTCTCGGACTGATTATAGTTGGTTAGTATAGTTTCACTATACTACGCCTGGTAGTGTTTGTAAACTGTTCAGTAAAACTCTCATAATTATGTGTGACATACAATATACAATAGTTTTCTCAAGCGTTTTCATGTTTGGTCGCTATACAATAGTTTTCTCGAGCGTTTCAATACCCAGTCGATATACAATAGTTTCCTCGAGCGTTCCAATACCCAGTCGATATACAATAGTTTCCTCAAGCGTTTTCATATTTGGTCGCTATACAATAGCTTCCTCAAGCGTTTTCATACTCAGTCGCTTCATAATTGCTTCCCAAGCGTTTTAATACTCAGTCGCAATACAGTAACTTCCTCAAGCATTCTTATACCCAGTCGCTATACAATAGCTTTCCCGTTCGTTTCAATACCCAGTCGATATACAATAGTTTTCTCAAGCGTTTTCATATTTGGTCGCTATACAATAGTTTCCTCGAGCGTTTCAATACCTAGTCGCTACTCATTCGCTATGCAATATTTTCATCAAACGTTTGCAATGATCAGTCTATATACAGTCGCTTCCTCAATCGTTTTCTTACTCAGTCGCTTCATAATTGCTTCCCAAGCGTTTTAATACTCAGTCGCAATACAGTAACTTCCTCAAGCATTCTCATACCCAGTCACTATACAATAGCTTTCTCGAGCGTTTCAATACCCAGTCGACATACAATAGGTTTCTCAAGCGTTTTCATATTTGGTCGCTATACAATAGTTTCCTCAAGCGTTTTCATATTTGGTCGCTTCATAATTGCTTCCCAAGCGTTTCAAAACTCAGTCGCAATACAGTAACTTCCTCAAGCATTCTCATACCCAGTCACTATTCAATATCTTTCTCGAGCGTNTATGTACAGTATGTATACTGTATGTACAGTATGTATACTGTATGTACAGTATGTATACTGTATGTACAGTATGTATGCTGTATGTACAGTATGTATACTGTATGTACAGTATGTATACTGTATTTGGTAACGCTTGAGGTAGCTATTGTATAGCGTAACACTAGTTGCGGTTTTGTAATCTCACTATATTGTGTTATTTGAATAAAATGAACGAAAATAGGAAAAAGAATAACTAGTACTAAATATTCTTGAATATTTCTTGTAGAATGCAGACCCTTTTGAAAACTGACAAAATAGGCACAACTGTTTACGAAAAGCATATACATTCTTATACAATGAAGAATAGATAGAATGAATTACTTTCCTGTCCATGAGATGTATATAGAGTGAGACTGAGTAAATATTATGCCGATGTTACAACTTTGGTAGCCAATTCAGAGAGCTCTGTGACTCCAAAATATATGTAATGGGTTATCAGCACATGGACATGTTGCGAGAAAATTTCTTTGATCGTAACAGTGTGAACAGTGTGAATGCAACTATAGTGTTCACACATTGTGAGGAACATACAAGTGAACGTGTTGAATAAAACAATAAATTGAAAACTATTTCATAGCATTTTTGTCTCACAGAAAGGAATTATCAGACTCATTATTAATAATGGGGTCACCGACTCAAGTAGAAAATATTTAGAAGATTATAAGATTTAATTTCTTCTTGTTAATCTCCCATAGTCTCCCAAACTACCTGAATTCATTAAAATGAAAACTGAATAATTTTCCCTCAACAAATCTGCTTCCATCACTCTTCCAAGGTCTAATTCTACCCGCTGATATACTTGAATTGTATTTCTGTTTTGAAGGTAGAAAGCTTTTCTGTATATCCTTTCGGCACCCTCCAAAACCAAACCCTCCAAAATCTACCCCTCTATTAAAATTGATTTGTTAGTTATTCAGACAAATAAACACGGCAACTGATGTTGCTGTCGAGATTTTTCATCGAAATTTCAAACACTATCATGAGTATGACATGATGTTGTATGTTAGCTGAAAACCACCGGCTCATTTCAAGTCGAGACCCTCCTTATCGTCCCAACAACTTGATGAACATATGCCACGGCCGCAGAATAATTAAACACGTGCAAAACGAAGTTTCGAGACAAGAACCAGCAGAACGCACGAAGCAGTTAATACCAATAATACTAAGATGTGACTCGTGACAGTTATATTGGTTCATCTCGGGGATGTTCTTGACAGTTTTGTAATTAGAGACGTTCTAAGAGAACAAGTCTTGATCAGTCATCAACGTTTCGCGGTGCCTCTATTAGACGGGAAGATGCTTCAGTTGAAAATTGTTTGAAATATTAAGGACTTTGTCGGAGGTTTCAAATATTGAAGGATGGATCGGACTTTATGTCAGCGGCCATGGAGATCCTTCTGAATCTACCTCCTCTCCATATTTTTCTGGAGACAGAGGCTAGATGAACTTGTGCTAGATATACTTGCGCACTTTGTCAATCGCACAAATCAATTTAATGCAGAGTGCAACAGACTGTTGGTTGACACTGGAAGTCAACTGACCTCTGACTTTATGTCTCCAACTATCAACTACGAACTGCCTTATAAAGTACTGTTCCCGAGTAGAGAGGACTAGATCCTCCGGGAGAAGGAGATATTAAAAGCAGATTGTTGTTGATTCACAGATGGATCAAAAACACCTTCCGATTCTGGTGCAGGTGTTTTCAGTCGCAGACCCAGGACAGAGATCAACCTGCCTAGGAACCTATGCGACTGTATTTCAAGCGGAAATTTACAATATTGAATTGTGTGCGGAGAGATTTGAAGAATCCAACCGCATACACAAGTCAATAAAAATATTCTCGGACAATCAAGCGGCGTTGGAAGCTCTTTGCTCCTACCGAGCAACGTCTAAATTAGTAGCAGATTGTCTCTTGTCTGGATTCCAGACCATACTGGCCTGGAAGGCAATGAGACTGCTGACTACCTTGCAAAGGAGGGTGCTGCAAGCAGCTTCATCGGACATGTGATTTGCATCGCTTTAGGCTTTGCCAAACAAAGATTGAACACCTAGATGGCAAGAAGATTTATGGTCTTCTAGCAGAATCTTCCAGGATTGGCTCACTCCAAGGCGTTTATTCACCCTTCGAAGCTTGATACCAAACAGTTGTTGGACTACAGTAGGGATGAACTACGGTGTCTAACATGCCTTCATTTGAATCATCATATGCAGAGACATGGACTTGAAAATGATGAAACAGCAGAGGACATACTTTGTGCCTGCCCCGCTGGGGACCGAATCAGGTTTTTAGAGTTCATCGGAACCGTACATCTGACCTGAAAGACCACCAACCATACAAACTATTCGGCTTCGTTAAGTCGAGTGTGAATAGGTGTGAGCCACAATAAACCCTTGCGGGTTACGGTGAAGGGTCGAATAGACCTACTCACTTTGGACCTACCCCAACCTAACCTAACCTAGCCTATTACCTAACTACTACCCGTATTTCCTCTATGTTAGTAATCATCTCTAATATTTATCTGTTTTTATCTAGAATTATTACGTATAAGACTAAACAGAGAGCTGTTCCAACTAGGACCATTGTCGCTATTCATAGAACTCATTCCGCACTTCTTAAAGGCATCCGGAAACTTGTTGTCATGTACCGGTCCCAACAATTTTAAACATTTCTCACTTATTATTGGTCTTTTTTGTGGCATGTTGAGCGACACTAGATTTCTCCGGTCTATTAAACCAAACATACGAAACATGTTCTTTGTAGCGAGCTAATATAGTCCGTTTGGTTTGGCCAACGTATTTCTCATCACAATCCTTTCAGTTTATTTCGTAAATCTCGGACAGATAGTACTGAGGCTACTAGCATATAAAAACACTACCATAATGGTGAAATTTGGTCATGATGATCTCCTGAGGNGGGGAAGTTCATCTATTGCGTCCGAAAATTCATTCCTTAAAAATTGTAGGAAAATTGCGCCATTCATGTTGCCGTCGAAAAAGAATGGTCCAATTATCCTTTCATTCAGTATTCCACACCAAACGTTCACTTTTTCTGAATACTGCCTTTTACCGTTTATCACTCAGTTAGGATTTTCAGTGGCCCAATAGCGAATATTTTGTGATGAAACCACTCCATTTGTTGTGAAACTAGCTTCATCACTAAATAAAATAAAATTTCATTTTACGATGAATGGACTAATAATTTATTTCATTATATTCGTCATACAAATATATCACTGCTCGAATTTTATTATTCACGACCATGACTCAATATTTTTCGTTATTATTTGGTCTCCCCCATGAATCACGATCCTTCCACTTATTTCTTGGAAAACTGGATTTCTGTGTCTCAAATAATCCATGAAAACTTCCAAATCAACTGATCCTACTCTCTTATTTTTCAAATTATCAGTCAGTACTTTGAAACCGTCGCCTCCGCCCGTTAAAAACGATGGAATCACTATTTTGTAGAATTTATCCATATCCAGATCTTCATAGACAGGAACTGTGCAATTGTTACAACGCACTTTGATGGAAACTACTCGATCGTTCAAAGATCTTGTTAAGTTGTAAACCACTTGCAAACCTGAAAAAAACGAAGCCCTAGTTGTATTGAAGCTAGAAATATATTCGAACAACAAAGATATCAGGGTGGTCAATTATAAATCTTTATACATGCAGCATGAACTTGTGCATCCAAAGTTAGTCAACGAAACAAGTTCACTAACAGCAAATTTATTAATTGAATAGAACTGGCCGATACTTGATGAAATCCATATTGAAAAACTAATCAATACAGTTTATTGTATGATTTTCACTATAAAAAGGTTTTACAAAAACCTCGACACCCGGTACACGTGTCGAGGTTTTTGTAAAACATAAACTGCTTATGCGTCCTCAAGCATAAGCAGTTTATGCTTGAGGAAGCAATAAACTGTATTGATTAGTTTTTTTAGCAAACTCATAGAATATTCTATTAATACATGAGGCACATCATCACAAACGTGTCAATATTCGTTTTTGATTGATTGCGGAAGAGTCAAGGAGTCTTCATCCCGTAGAAAAATGCAAATAAATATTGGGGGGGGGCAAAAGGTTTTAAAGACATAAACAAGCAGAACAAATCAATATCCACAGAATCAATTAAATCACTACAAATCCGACACATGACTGGAAATTTCTCATTCAGTTTTGGTTTACTCTAGCATCTGAAGGAGTTTTCAAATGTTTACTGATTATAATAAATATATCAAGATATAAATCCATAACAAGTGGTAAAAAATATTTGGCCAAACGGGAGTATACTCCTATTTTTTGAGGAAAAGACTTGAACGTACTCATATAACAAATAATGATTTGAGCGAATCTATTGAAAACAATAAAGACAATACCGAATTCATTCTCAGGTAGATCAGAAGTACTTAACTTGACTTGACTTCAACTTCACTTCGAAGTTGACTTCAAAGGGAGAATATGAATTCGTCGGGGAGCTCTAATATCTGGGAGTGATACAAGATCCCAAGCTGATCTGGAACCAACATCTAGAAAGAGTTGAAAGAAAGGCGGAGGTAGCGGTGGTGCTGTCCAGACGCATATGTGGAAAGGGGGGGGGAGTCAATTCTGACTGAAAAACTTACCAAGTTATATGAGATGTTCGACACGAATTTCGCGGGTGAAGTTTTGAACTGTGAAGAGTGGATAATCAACAGTGATCCTGAGAATATATTCGGTAGAAATAGCTGGTAAACGGGTCCAAAACCGAATATGGAATGGGAGCTGGAATATACTGTGCGGGGATATATGCAGGTAATATTATTTTGAGGCCTAAACGGACAACCAAGCTGAACTTGCGGCATTGGCAAATCCAAAAGTGACATCTTAACTGATCTGGAATACCTTTGAAAAAGACAAATGTCATCGAGAACTAGCTTTAGAGGTTGGTTTTACATAGAAATTCATATTACTTGCAGTTCATGTTGCTCGATCATAGATATTCTTCACAGGAAGCAATTGACACTGTAAATAATTGGGCAGTAAATTATTTATCATTTTGAAAATGAAAGTCATTGTTTGAATATAATGATTTTGTTTCACATTAAGTCAGTTGAGGATATCTTACATAGATTTTATATTCGTGTACCTGTTGCAACCAAGGATAATACGCATTGCTTTATTTTGTAGGATTTGCAGTCTGTCATAATTAGATATGTTGGTGTAAATTATAGAACTGCAATAGTTGAAATAAGGCAATAGCATAGTATTGTACACAGTTATCCGACTAGACTGAGATGGAGATGAAGTTTTACGTCTCATGAATCCAATTTTTTACCTATTTTTTTCGAAATATAGTCAATATGTTTATCAAATTTCAGTTGGGTATCAATTACGAATCTCAAATATCTCAATCCGCTGATCATTTATCTTAATATCTGATTCCATACTTAGACATTTTTGATACAGAAAATTATTGCCAATAAACATATATTTACTTTCAGTTTCATTAACTTTCAGTTTATTGATTTATTATACATATAATTTACATATAACAAAAATAAAATAGGACGTAAAACACTTCCTTGTGGCACACCATAGTTGTTGAGGTGGCACTCTGACTCTATGTTTGCCATTTTGGTTTTTTTATTGCCCAGGTAACTCGTTATCCACTGTATTACTGAACCCGAAAATCCATATTTCTTTAATTTCAATATTAATATTTCGCGATCGATTGTTTCAAATGCCTTTTTCATATCTAGAACACTGCACATGTTCCAACTCCAGATTTATCCAAAGCACTCTTCATGTCTGGTGTAACAAGTTGAAGTGCTGATTCACACGAATGAGATTTACGAAATCCTGATTGGTACGAACAGATAATGTTATTTACATCAATATATTTCTAAGATTTTGTCACAAAACGGTAACAAATTTAATGGTCTTAATTGTTCAGCTAAGTTAGTGTTCTGAATTTTTGGTATTGGAACTATTGTTGAAGTTTTGAAACATTGAGGTACTTTTCCCTTTGATAAACTCAAATTGATTAAATTCAGTAGTGGATAACCAACAATATGAAATACATTTTTGATAACTTCGAGACCAACTTCATCAGTACTATATTTTTTTCTTTGTGATTTTATTATATCATATAACTTTGTAGGGTCAAAGGGGTGAATTCAGACATGTTTGACAAATAGTTTGGCACTGTAGCGAGTATTTCATCTTTTTCTGCATTTTCTGGACTAATACTAGTTATTATATCTTGTACTATTTATAAAATACTGTTTCAATACATTTATGATTGTTATTTGATCACTATAAATTATTCCTTGGCAGTTTAGGCAGGATTACCTTTATTTCCGTCAATTTGTTGTTGAAAGAAATATTTTTTTGACTCTCTCATTGTTTTGACGACATTATTTCTAGCCTGTTTATAAAGAATCCAATCTCCTTCCTCATTAGTCAACACACATTTTTTATATGCTTTATTCCTTCCATCAGTAGCTGATCTACATGCATCATTAAACCATTGTTTATGATTTGTCTTCATTTTTTTGAAGTCATGGGTGCAATCATATCAATAGAAGAAACAATATTCTGTAAAAAAAATTCTGAAAGAACATCAACGTCACTATATGTATAACCCCAGTCTTTTTCCACAAGTAAATTTGTTAGTTCGTCATAATTTATTTTACCATGGAGCTTTCTAGTTCGAGGCAAGTCCGATTCTTTCGTACTTCCGTCACTTATTAAATAATCTTTTTCAGTATAAGGTGCCACTTTGTAGTCATTACTAAAAACTTGATCGATAACTGAACTGGAGTTCTTATATATCCTTGTATATTCCGTAATCTATTGTTTCAATCCGTTATTTTCAAGTAAATCTTTCAGTTTTTTTTTCATCGATCGAATTTTTATCATACTGTATATCAAAATCTCCAGTAATGACTGCAATATGACTACCGTTAAGTTCAATAAATTCTTCTAACGAACTCGAAAAGTGTTAGAAGAAAACTGACATATTACCATTTGGCGATATGTACAGCACAGCAATACTATAAGTTGAATGATGGAAATATATATCACCTGATAAAATAAAAAAATTCATATCAACAGCAAAGGACTTAATGTTTGTGAATTTCAACGAATCTTCCACAAACATTTTAGCACCCCCTGTATGTCTACTACTCGAGTTACACCGAGCCATTTTATACCCCTGTATATATAAATCATCATTATTGATTTCTTCAGTCACACATGTTTCTGATAAACACATCACTGAAGGGTTGTATCTCATTATATAGTCCAATAGATCATCTTTATGTTTACAAAAACTAGATATATTCATATTGATTATATACTGGGTGCCAGGACACTCAGGCATCTCAGGCAATGGAGAAGCTGATGAGTGTGCCAGACACAGATCATCAACTCCATCTTCAGGCCCTGAATCAACTGTAGGGGTACCAAAGCCTTTGCTATAGTCTATAAGAAATTAGAGAGTACTGGGAAATCATTCCGGGGATAACACATGGGAAAACTTTGTTTATGGGACCGTCCAAGCAGAGAAGTGAGGAACTGTTTCAACAAAGCAGAGATCGGCTCAAACAATATTTTCGGACTGGGTATCATGGGAAAGTATGAAAGAAAAGCGCAATAATGCCTTAAGTGTTTTCCGAAGACTTGGGGGAGAGGGACAAGCAAGACGGTTCCCAAGTAGTAGAAAAAAGACGACAAGGTTGATCGTTGATAATATACGACACGACTTTCATCATTTATGTTATCCAATCCAACACATTTTCAACTTTTTTCTGGGGTTTTGGGAATGTATATACCAAAAGATATTCCAGAGGAGAATAGAAAATGGTCTAGTAAAGAAATAGGCTGCAATTTTTGAACAATATTAATCTTTGGTTGTAGCATTTTCCATTGTTCTTCAAGGCGTCAAGACTTTAACCGAATCATCTAATAAAATGTTGCCTAGCTGCTAATCAAAATTATGAAATGGTAAAAGACTCAGCTTCCTTCTCAATTATTTACGTCAACCTTTTTCAACTTTTCTAATTCAATATTAGGATTTGAAAATGTCCATTTTGTAAAAGTAGTATATTTCTTCATTAATACTGGTTATAGAATTCGACTCACCAGATAACTGAAGCAAATTCAAACTGCTGAAGACCCTTCCGTAAGAATAACCAGCAGTGGTTAGCTCCAATAGTTCTTTCAGATGTTTTCCTTCGAGCTCACCGATGTCGATTGTATTCCCAAAGGGTTGAGCGGTAACAAGATCGTTATAAGTAATTTCTGTAATCAATGATAATAATGAACACGATAGTTTTCTCATCGACAAAAGTTCCAGAATACTATTAGATATCGCATGGTAATCCATATCTCGTACAAGTTTCTACTTCTGAGGGATATTATTGGAGGTTTTTCCCAACACCAAACCATTATTTCAACATCTCGACACGTGTTTCGATCACCAAGTGATCATCTTCAAGAGGAAGATCAAACTCTTGAAGATTGTTGGGAAAAAACTCTAGTAATATTCATTGCTACACCAAAGATTCCAAGCAGTGCTTCACAAGTTCTGAGGAATATCATTCGTGTAAAAGCGATGAAAAAACATATTTCAGTTCATTTTTCCAATCCTATCAGATGAGACAAATTAAAATGTAGGTAGTTACCTCCAGGGTGTATGTTACTCCGCAGACCACCGGCATTTATAAAACCAACCGCAGCCTCAGTCCAATATCCTTTAGGAGCTGATTGAGAATACTAAAAATAACAAATTATCCAATAGTTTGTTTTCAAAACTATTCTGATTATTAATTAGGTATAATAGCCCTCTGGGCTATTGCTGGCAAAACAATACAGAAGTAGATGAAACTAAGTTAGGTTTGCATTATTGATAACGAGAAAAGTGTATCATAACCACTTGAAAACAAATTCAGAAACAAACGGAAATTGGTAATTTTTTTTATTTAATTTTTTCAGTTGAAACTTTCAGATGAGTGGATGTAGATCCACTCATTTTGTTAGGATTCATCAATATTCCTTATGTTTTGAAGAAGATAGATAGATAGATGTGCATCGACCAACTCGGTGAATTTTCCAACCTGAATTGATCCACTTTTACCTCCCCCTGTTATTCCTAAACAAGGGTACACTCTGCCTAGTTTTTTAGCAGCAGTTACTTGTTTCGTATTTGACAACCAAACCAATGAAGCATATTCTGTCATTGAGTCTAGCCGAAACTTCATTTCTAGGTTCAGTCTTCTCATGTCTGTAGGAATGACTAGTTAGCATCAATGCTTCTTCTGCCTTCCTTTTTAGCCTGTATAAGTTCCAGATCAGTCTGGAATCATTTCCAGATATTCAACCTTTCCTGACCATTTCATCTCTTCACCTCGGAGATTTGTAGAGATCTTGATCCTTCTATCTTGGTCCATTTGGTGAATGCTACCTACCTCTGTCGATTTGGATAACCTCATGTTCAGCTCTTCTTCCTTGGTTCATACTTTAGAGTCGGTTGCATACGTTACTCCATTTATCTTGGACTAGGATGAATAACTCGTCTGCAGAGCATAGTACTTCATATTCATTATGGTCAAGAAGAAGGGGTGACTTGTTCATCACAATGGTAATTGTAATCATGAATAATTGTAATGAAATCAGTAATTTCTTGAAAACTTAAACAGGGTTTGAACAGGGGTTAATTGATGAGTACAAACTCCATATATATCACTTGAAAATGGTAGCATACATACCGCGAACACCATAGCATCCGTTACAAAATTTCCAAGAGAGCACTCCTTGTAATAACATCCTTCAACACTTAGAGATACCAAACTAGACCCTATCACAACATCACCTTGTGCATCCACAACCGCTTTCCAAGGAGCCAAGTCCTGATTTATCTGTTCATCTGAAACGAAAATTCCAAAACTTTATTGTTATTGGTTATTGAAGTCTTACAGAACAAAATATTTGTGATGTTATTAAAGATATGAGTACTACGCCTTGTGTGGATATCCAATAATGGTTTTGATGACGTAATGAGACAAGTATTCTGTCCCGAAACCGCAAAGTACACCATTGAGGATGATACTTTTCTACGTTATAGCATTGAGATCAGTATCAACTCATATGTCAAGTTGTGTAGCGTTCCTATGAAATATTGGGGTGCTAACTGAATGCGAAAAAGTAATTTTCCTTTAATTAAGAGTTCATGTGAAAGTAGTTATTTCGAAAGGGTTTTTTGATCTACTTTGTATCTAGAAAAATATTTTGTGTATGATTTACATATCTCCACAATGAGTTTTTTTATTGTTGTAATTTTCTTTCTTCCTTCCTTCAGAAATTCACCAATTTTTCGTTCAATGATGGAGAAGTAGAAAGCCAAAAAGTTTTTTTCCAAAAAATGATAATCTTATCATAAAAGTATATGATATTTTTTTGTTTGACTAAGAAAATGTATCATCTGAGGCGAATAGAAGATAATAACCACTTCTATTATTTTAATCAATACAGAATTAATATTTTCTCAGTTTGTGCTCTGATAAGTTATCCTTTTCATCGATACATTACAACGTGTACATTTTTGAGTTGCACTTTTTGTTTAGTTCAGTCATAGACAGTTTCCAACTTTTCCGTTATACAACAAAGCGTATCTTATAGATTTCATACTTTTTATGTTTGAAATATTTTGAAAGAAAAGAAAAAGAGGGCTAAGATCAGAACATCTAGTGAATCACCGATTAGGATTATGCATTTTTATCAATTTATGACTAAACGATGCTGCCAGAGACAATGTTTATGTTCCAGCTCATAGAGTTGTTGATATTTCCAAACATATTCTCTCCTTGTAGTATATGCATAACGGAAGAATATTTTGGGAAAAATCCTTACAGTTCCATACTTCTGATCCATTTCACTTCGATCACTTTTCTCAGAAGAGAAGTTTCGACAGAGTCTCACTTGGGTTCTCAGATATTTTGGAAGTCATTCTATCGTAATGAGGTACAGAAATTTACATGTTTTCTGAAAACCAACTTTATAAAGAAAAGAGAGGTAAGAACAAACAACTTCATGGAATTGAAACAAAAACAAATGGAAAAAATACTTTCTGTCAGCAAAATTCTGTAATGGGTTTCAAAGATATTGGTGAAGTATTATACTTCAGTTGCAGATGAATTGACAAAAAATATACCCGTAGCTTATGATCCACTAATAAATCTAGCAAACTTCAATGTTAATGAAAATCTAATCTTGTATGACACTTATATTGATGAATTGAAAGAAACGTTACTTACAATTAAAAATAAAACCGCAACAGGATTTGATGACATTTCTGATAGGATCTTTGAAAATCTTCCAGATAATGCTCTGAACCATCTAGTATCTCTGATAAATGGATCCTTCAAAGAAGGTACATTTCCACAGTTTCTCAAAACATCAATTGTCATACCGATCTATAAAGGTGGTGAAGTGAGCTCTCCTAGGAATTTTAGGCCCATTTCACTCATTCCTACGTTAGCCAAAATCATCGAAAGACTCGTTAAGAAAAGAATGTTTGACTTTTTGCAGGCGTGTNTAATCTGGAAATTTTCACTTCAATCTAAAAAATTTCGACTTTATTCTCAAAATTCTGACTTTATTCTCAGAATAACAACTTTAAAATACGTAAATTAGACTTTAATCCCGAAGTTAATTCGTATGAAAGGTGTTTTAATCAAAGCGTTCGCAGAAGTTATCAAGGAGTTATGGTCAGAAGATTCATTTGATAGACTAGTAAATGCCTCCTTAAAAAATCAGATTCAAAGTTTTGCTCCTCGATTCATCGGTAATTCCCATCAAGACCCCCCAGGAGTTTCTTCATTATCTTTTAGAAAGTTTACATGAAGACGTTAATATAATTATTGAGAAACCTAAATCAATCTTAACGGAGATAGAGGAAAATTGAGCGACAGTGGAAATGCACAAGAGTCATGGCTCACATATTTGAGGATTCATAACTCTAAGATTGTAGATAATTTCGTTGGTCAATTGAAATCCACGATGAAATGCACACACTGTGGACACTCATCAGTAACCTCTGATCCTTTCTGGGATTTGTCTCTCTCCATACCACCAACCGACCAATTGAGTTTGTGGCAATGCTTGAATTCGTTTACGAAAGAAGAAACTTTGGATGGAAATGAAAAACCGACGTGTTCGAAATGCAAGGAAAGGAGAAAATGCTCAAAGTCCCTATCAATACACAAGTTTACCCATATTTCAGTAATTCATTCAAAAAGATTCTCTCCAACGGAAAGATTTAGGGGCAAATTGAATGATGTCATCGAATTTCCTCTAGAAGGATTGGATATAAATAATTTTGCAGCAGAAAATGTGGTTACTTGTTGTTATAATCTATATCCACTTTTAAATCACAGTGAGACTACTTACAGGGAGCATTATACAGCTACTACAGACACCCGTAGACACGCGTGGCACAAATACAACGATTCACTCGTGTCACTAGTTTCACCAAAATCGCTTGTGAGTGGAGAAGCATACGTCCTCTTTCATGAAAAGGATGGAACAAAATCGCACCATTCAGATAACTGAAGGAAAGTTTCTTTATGGAATTATTATTTATCTGTTGTTAAGTTCAAACAACAAGTTTTTTGTTATTAAAAAAAATCATTTGTGGATTTTGCTTAGTAGATTTCGACTGTTGAAGTTCGCTTGTGCACTTTCCTATGACACTGAATGACAAGACCGCAGTTATGTCAACGAGTTCGAACCCGTTGTGAAACCACAGCGATCACTTTTCTCTTTCTACGAATGCATACAGTTTTCTTCAACATTGAAGACGACATCTTATCAAAACACTTGATCCTTGCTTTTAACACGTTCACTATTTATTTAAACTTCATTCTGCATTTTTGTCTAGTTTTTCTCCAACTTCTCTTTCGTTTCCTTCTCTTTAAAAATTACTTAATTACTATTCTTTCAAGTTATGTTGAATATATGTCATATGAATGTCAGATCCTTACCATCAAAATTTAATGAATTTCATAATCAGATTCTCATTGGGGAATATGATATTGCGGGAGTAACATGGATGCATGCAGGTATTGTCAGCAGTAATGTAAGTTCTTCTCCTTATATATTTTTACGCAAAGACAGGTTATCCAGAAGCGGAAGGGTAGGTATTTTTCTGAGAAATACTTTCAAATATGAAATTATTTTGAGTCAATGCAGTGAACAGGTGGAATGTATTTGAATAAAATTAAACGTGGGAGAAATAACTTTATAGCTATCGGTATAGTTTATAGGCCACCTAATTCGAACTTAACATTATTTTTAGACGAAATTGAAGAAATATTTACCAATTCATATTCAAATTACAGTGATATAATATGTTTAGGTGATTTTAATATCAATATGTTAGATCCCAGTTGAAATAACTCAGAGAGGTTTCAGACGGTATTAGAAATATTTAATTTCNTGGCCAAACGGGAGTATACTCCTATTTTTTGAGGAAAAGACTTGAACGTACTCATATAACAAATAATGATTTGAGCGAATCTATTGAAAACAATAAAGACAATACCGAATTCATTCTCAGGTAGATCAGAAGTACTTAACTTGACTTGTCTTCAACTTCACTTCGAAGTTGACTTCAAAGGGAGAATATGAATTTGTCGGGGAGCTCTAATATCTAGGAGTGATACAAGATCCCAAGCTGATCTGGAACCAACATCTAGAAACAGTTGAAAGAAAGGCGGAGGTAGCGGTGGTGCTGTCCAGACGCACATGTGGAAAGGGGGGGGGGGTCAATTCTGACTGAAAAACTTACCAAGTTATATGAGATATTCGATACGAATTTCGCGGGTGAAGTTTTGAACTGTGAAGAGTGGATAATTAACAGTGATCCTGAGAACATATTCGGTAGAAATAGCTGGTAAACGGGTCCAAATCCGAATATGGAATGGGAGCTGGAATATACTGTGCGGGGAGATATGCAGGTAATATTATTTTGAGGCCTGAACGGACAACCAAGCTGAACTTGCGGCATTGGCAAATCCAAAAGTGACATCTTAACTGATCTGGAAATGCCGGAACTGAGGAAACTGTTCAACAGGAATACATTGATGAATGAATGCTTTGTTTATCATCGGATAATCAGATTACAATGTATAAAGAAAATATAAAAAATACAGATTACAGAAAATATAAAAAATAAAAGAATAGTATGGAACATGCTAAAATTTTTACACAGATCTATATATACATTAACATATACATAAATATACACACACAGATATATACCTACATACACAAAATAATATCATAATGAACCCACATCAGGAACCACCTATTTTATACATATATACACATATACATACATATAAACATATACACACACATACATATACATACACATATACATTTATAATGTTCAATTTGTCACAATATCAATTTTGTTTTAAACAATTTTATGGACGAAGATTCTTTGATTTCACGAGGAAGTAGATTGAATTCAACAATACCTTTGAAAAAGACAGATGTCATCGAACTAGCTTTAGAGGTTGGTTTTACATAGAAATTCATATTACTTGCAGTTCATGTTGCTCGATCATGGATATTGTTCACAGGAATCAATTGACACTGTAAATAATTGCGGGTAGTAAATTATTTATCATTTTGAAAATGAAAGTCATTGTTTGAATATAACGATTTTGTTTCACATTAAGCCAGTTGAGAATATCTTACATAGATTTTATATTCGTGTACCTGTTGCAACCAAGGATAATACGCATTGTTTTATTTTGTAGGATTTGCAATCTGTCATAATTAGATATGTTGGTGTAAATTATAGAACTGCAATAGTTGAAATAAGGCAATATCATAGTATTGTACACAGTTATGCGACTAGACTGAGATGAAGATGAAGTTATACGTCTCATGAATCCAACTTTTTACCTATTTTTTTCGAAATATAGTCAATATGTTTATCAAATTTCAGTTGGGTATCAATTACGAATCTCAAATATCTCATTTCCTGAACCCGTTCATGTTTGAACAGGGGTTAATTGATGAGTACAAACTCCATATATACCACTTGAAAATGGTAGCATACATACCGCGAACACCATAGCATCTGTTACAAAATTTCCAAGAGAGCACTCCTTGTAATAACATCCTTCAACACTTAGAGATACCAAACTAGACCCTATCACAACATCACCCTGTGCATCCACAACCGCTTTCCAAGGAGCCAAGTCTTGATTTATCTGTTCATCTGAAACGAAAATTCCAAAACTTCATTGTTATTGGTTATTGAAGTCTTACAGAACAAGATATTTGTGATGTTATTAAAGATATGAGTACTACGTCTTGTGTGGATATCCAATAATGGTTTTGATGAGGTAATAAGACAAGTATTCTGTCCCGAAACCGCAAAGTACACCATTGAGGATGATACTGTTCTACATTATAGCATTGTATATCAATATTAACTCCTATGTCAAGTTGTGTAGCGTTCTATGAAATATATCTGTTTCAATTCCATAACGAATGTTTGGGGTGCTAACTCTGAGATACAATTTAGACCGTATTTAAAAAATTTGGGGTTGATTTTAGATTATGAACTAAGATTTCATGAACATATAACCAACAAACTTAAAATTGCTTATTCATCACTGAAACTAATATATCCCCATATACAATATTTGGATGTAGATGTCAAGAAAATGATATGTGATTCATTAGTTTTATTTCATTTCAACCACTGTGACGCTGTTTACCATTCATGTTCAGACAAGAACGACAAGTGTCGCATACAAAAAGTTCAAAACTCTTGTATCAGGTTAATATTTGGTATCAGAAGAAGTTCCAGAATTTCACACAAATTAGCAGATTTGAAGTGGTTGAGTATGTTTAATCGTATTCTTCAAAATATTCAAATATAGGAATCCTCCCTACTTATGTCTTATAGAACAGATATCCATAACCTGAATTTGCGTAAAAATACAGTGCTTAACATTCCTTTGAACCAAAAGCCATTTGCAATCAAGTACAAAGTGTTTTTATTTTTCTTTCTCTTGTATTTTGTTTTTTGTTATTATCTTCTATTTTGATGGGCAATAAACTTATTATTATTATTAAGTCGCAAACTAAGAGGTTCATCATGGCCTGCCAGGAGGGTGTCCTCAATACCTTGGTACCTTAGTTCGCGTCATGGATATACACTAAATATCCCTAACACCAGGTGCAGAGCTTTCCACGAGACGGCTCAATGCATAAGGCACAAATATTGACCGGTAAAATGTATACATAGCTCTGTACGACTGCTCAGCACACATGAATTCAAGGCCCAATGATCACTCACTTCACAGGTTGGGAAAAATCACAGGTTATTTATTCTGACGTGTCCTAAGATGTATCAGAGCTCCATTGAAAAGGCCCAAGCGATGCAACCTACTTAGTAAAAAAAAATATGTATTCGTTCTGGAAAATCTCAGCAACCCTACTCTATCACTCAACCAGTTCCTCACAACGAATATAATAAAATTGAAAAAAAGAACGAAGCAAGTGTAGATAGAAACTGTCCATTACTTGCCAAATATGGTATCTTTGGTCCTGGTTCGTTTTTAATGGGAGATATTTCCGTTTTCTGTCGATTCCATAAATATATTCATGGGTAAGAGAAATCGTCGGCACTTTTCACTTACGTTCATCCTCATTAAACACAACTAAATCCAAACGTTGACTCAACCAAGCACTGCCGATGAGATATTTGGCAAACATAACTCTTTGAGTTTTCAGATAGATTACATCTTCGTAGGGAGAGTCAGCAGGTTAACTGCCATCACCAACCCAGCTTTCATTACTATTTTCGATGTTCATTGTTCATTTGGCTCACAGCATAATAGTTCAGGTCTAATACTAGGTCATAGACTCACAAAAACTAATTCAACTTTTCAAAACCAGGATCTTTTCGAAAAACCAGTTTTTCTCAAAACCCACCTTGTTCGAAATAAGTATCCAGAAATATAGGTGATCCAGAATAATCAACAACCTCTCCACTTTCGTCCAGGAACACTGTTATATTTCCCAGATACTTGCAATAGGCTGAAGCCTGCGTAACAAGAACATTATGTCCATGTTTACTTTTCACAATCGTCGGATACGGGCCTTGAACAATGTCTGGCCCCGGGGATTTATCTGTAAACAAAATAATCATTCTACAAGTTGAAATGAATGATTTATGGAAATTAAAACATACCACCAGTGTACAAAAAGGTATGTGAATGCCCTCCAACTACGAGACTGATTTTTTCGGTAGCATTAGCTGCTATCTGCTGTTCAACGTCGTAGCCAGAATGAGACAGGACTATAATTGTGAAAACTTGTTCTTCTCTTACCAACCGTTCGGCTTCAGCGTTCACACTGGCGGATTCGGGAAAAAATTTCAATTTACCTGTGTCAGAAATTTCCTGAAAAATTAAAGATATAGTTCAATATTATTAGTAAACAAAAAAGAAATTGAGCTATAATTTTTGAGTTACACTTTCAGAATCATATATGATACAAATTGCATGCACTGCACTGATCTTCAGATCAATCTGTTGAACAACGAGATTTCTCTACGAAGATGAGTCTTACAAAATTAACATTGATAAGATGGATGACTACAAGAATTGGTGAAATCGTCTTGTCTGATCCAACAATGATGAGTTCTGGCTGATGATTTTATTGTGTATGACGAAATGCTCGACAGGATCACTTTTTCATTGTGACTTTCAAATATTCTTTTTCCTATGGATGCAGTAGATTCGTAACCGCAGAATTTTGAATAGTTTTTCCTATAGAAAACGTGCCTCAAATCCTGGTTTGGATCCATCCTTTGAAAATTATAACCCCTTCTCCAAAGTTATATCCACTGAGTGACTTCTTGTCCAAGTTTCGGACTTCTCGACTGTAGTGAAACAAGACATTGAAGGTTTCTTCTGGTTTGGGTGTTGCAATGCATCCCAGTATATCACTTAGGCAGAATTAAAAAATATTGTAGAGGACAGACTGGCAGAGAATTCAAAACAAATTAATAATGATGGAATGGTCCCAACAAAACACCCTTAAGGCGCTCTAAGAGCGGTACCTGTGCGAAAGTAGCGATTCACGTTAAATTTGAATCACTGGAAAATAAATTAATTTGTAAACGCGTTATTCCACATAAAGGCAGTTCTTCAAGTGAAATACTTCTCTAACAGTGAAGTTCGAGGTGTACTGAGTTGAACCTCAAAACGATGAGCAGTCACAGTCCGTCGTGTTTTTCTGATATGTACCGCTTTTGGTGGAATCAAATGTGCCAAGTTATTTGACCAACTACCGTGAAAAAAGAGAGACAAATCTCCAACCTTACATCGATGTTCCAGACTATCAAGGTTGCCGGTAATGATCGCATCTACAATCAAGTGGATGGCTCTTCTCTGCATGAAATCCAGCAGCTTCAAAGTGTGATTAGGGGCGGAGCTCCATACATGAATACAATACTCCGAAGAAGCATCAAAAGTTGCTGAGGTGTGTCATATTGTTGATCGCTCAAGATGTTAAAGACTTTCAAATATTCAGATTATGGTGATTTACGGCTTTCTCCTACGGATAATTTACATTTTGATAGAAGTAAAGTTGACCTTTTCAAGTATAATCCCCTCGACAGAAAACTGAAATCTTACTTATTAAAAACAACAAAGTTAATATATTGCAAAGCAAGGTATGGACTTTAACTGCCGAATGAGAAACTGGGATGCCAAATGAGAACATTTAGTTGAGTTCATCAATGCAGTCTTAGTTCAGCCTGGCTCCACTAATAAGATCTAAGGCAGAACTAAACAGTCTTGTCTGATGTAGGCTCATGTTTGTATTTTGGTTTGTTATAGTTGCCTTTGGTGAGGCTGTGTTGGGTCACAAATAAAGTTGATCTTGAATGATTTGGTTTCATTGAAGCGATTTCTTTATTTATCTGAGTGGTTGCAGCCTCCATTGAAAAACCAAATACTTAAAGTCACTCCAAGATGTCAAACTTTCAATTACAAATAATTTGTTTGTTATAAAATCCCCAGACTACTATATCACTTTCTTGATGATATTGATTTGAGTTGCAAGCGAAAAGCCTTACTTGGATACATTTTTAAAAAATCTATAACCAATAAAGTTCATTAGTAAAAACGAAACTCACATCGCAAGTAGACGTAATGACCCCAATAATACCAATTTTCTTGCCACCCCTCTCAATAATAGTACTTTTCGTATATATTCCTTGAATGTCAGGTTCCAAACTATCGTCAATATTCGAAACAACAATCGGATGTTTCAAGGCTTTTATATAAGGAACAATTCCTTTGATTCCATCATCAAATTCATGATTTCCCAATACCTGAAACAAGCCATAATACTTCATTCAAAATTATTCAATAAGGGTGAACTACAAGAAGTTTTCAGTGATCCTCTTAATTCATTTATGTTTTCACTCCTCAACTCTTACTTCTGCGTCAATCGGTAGCTTGTTCATGAACTCTTGGGTGACATTCCATTTTCCAACGTTGTACCAAAGAGTGCCTTGAAAGTTATCACCAGCATTCAGTAACAAATAATTGGGGTTGTCTTCCAGCATCGTCATTATCTGTTTGTACAACCTGGAGAATCCACCAATGCATTTGTCCATGTTTGAACATGAGCCTCCATCGCTACTGGTTTGTTCAAATCTGAAATGAACATGAAAATTCAGGGTTACTTTTTTCTAAGATTACTCTGGCTGGGCCCTGTCTCCGAAGCCCCGATACATTCGGAGAGCGCGCCAGCATCATTAACCAATTACTAGTTACCGTGGGGTAAGTGATCGTTAGGGTCAAGAATCATGTGTTCTGAGCAAAAGCAGTAGGCTAAGAATGACAACCTTCTGCATTTGTTAGACTAAGGTTTATGTCTAGTGCATCAAGCCAGCACGATTTTGAGATCCGAGAGTAGAGAAGACAGCATTACATCAAAGACTCCAATAATCCTAACAATCATCTTGAGATCGTGGTATCGATATTTCATCATTGTTTCCTCCAGCTTTCGACGGACGATATTCGTTTAGCCAGGAGCTGAAAACTCCAAGACGAATATCGTTTTGTTCTGATGGTTGCGAAGAACTACATCGGACTCATGAGCTCGTACGAGTGTGAGAGTAGAGAATGAAAAGTGTTGATAAATTCGAATTCAATATCCCCAACAGCGTAAGACAAAATCGATGCTTCGTCAATACCGTATTAGTGCCGTAGGTGGCAATAAAGTATACTTTCAGGGCCGCGTTATTTCAATTGATGTACAGATTCACTGAAGTGTGGGAGACACCATCCTGACAGGCCACGATGAATCCCTCAGTTTCTAATTTTAGCCCACAAGACCTGAGGAAAGCGAAGATTAAGTGCTTTGATAAGCTGGGGTCTTCGATTTTGTTGAAGAAGACCTCATGCATTGGCTTATACTTGTCTTGCCGCAAACTGATCTCTGCTGCTTTTATATGGGCCTTTTGCTAACGGCTTCCAACTTAGTGACAGAATTGTGATCATCTCATGCAGTGTCGAAAGCTAAATCAGCCGCTCGAGCAGTTGCCCTAAAGATGAATGCTCCAACTCCTGCTCTCTCATGGTCACGGACCATGCAGAGAAGGAAATCCGAACTCCTGACGACTTTACAGGTTCTATCCAAATTCAAAAGCCAACGGCCTTCCTGATGTCGGGAAAAGAACAATCGTGAAACGGGCGATTTGGGATAAAAACTCCTATTGAGGTGCATCATTTTTCGGGTGTTTACGTCGTTTATGTTCGATACTGTTCCTCCCGAGTCCACTTCACTACTCCAAACAAGTATAGTAAGATTGGAACGGCAAGCGTATTTATTGCAGCAACTTTGTTCTTGATCGACAGTTCCGGTGGCCAGATCTGTCGGGGTTTGTACTGATACTTGCCGCGGACAGAGTTCTTCACTACTGTTACCTCTTGAAGTGACGTTACTCCACCCCGAGGCATGTATAGATATTTTCGGCGCAGTGAGCCAAGAATGACAGCCTTCTGCATCTGTCCGGCTAAGATTTCTGTCTTAGTGCAGCAGGCCGATATGATTTCAAGATTCGAGAGTAGAGAGAGCATCATTCCACCAAGGATTCCAATATTCAGAACAACCATCTTGACAGAGTGGTCTAGATAAAGTCTGCGGAGTTCGAAGAGAATATATCGATATTTCATCAATTTTTCCTCCTCTTTTTCGGACGATATACGTCTCGCCAGGAGCTGAAAACTCCACGAAAAATTTAGTCTTCCTCTGGTGGTCGAGAAGGACTACATCAGGCTCATTAACTTGTATGAGCCTGAGGGTGGAGAACGAGTAGTTCCAATAAATTCGGCACTTCTGGTTCCCCACAACGTATTTAATATCCCCCGGAGCGTAGGGCAATACCGGTGTCTCGTAAGAGTGCCGTAAATGGTAATGTAGCACTCCTAGGGCCTCGTTATGTCGATGGATATAGGCCGAGAACGCATATGCTGGACATGCTGAAAGTAAGTGCATTAGGATCTCGGGTGCCTCGCGGCAGGCCCTGCACATTCTTTCGGGAACCTCTATATCCATCACGCGACTGTGGTAGACTAAGACATCATCCTGGCAAGCCATAATGAACCCCTCAATGTCCGACTTCAGCGCACTAGACCTGAGGAAAGCGGAAGTCACGCGCTTTGATAAGCCAAGGTCTTCAATGTTATTGAAGTCGTCCCCATGCATTGGCTTATACTTGTGTTTTCGCAGAAGTGAGGTTATCTCTTCGGCTTTTATATGAACTTTTTGCTGAACGGGTTCCAACTCGGTGACAAAGTTGTGGTCACATCGTTTAGTGTCAAAAACTAAACCGGGTTGATCAGCTGCTCGGACAGCTGCCCTGAAGAGAAATGTTCCAATTCCTGCTTTCTCATGGTCACGGACCATGCAGAGAAGGGGATCCAAACTCCTGAGTACTTTACAGGCTATATCCGGTACCATTCTGTCATGTTGACACTCCAAACTTAAAAGTCCACGACCTCCCTATTGTCGGGGGGAGTACATCCGTGGAACGGACTGTTACTTGCTGCGGAGAGAGTTCTTTACTGCTGTTACCTCTTGTGAGTGGCGTTGTTCCACTCCGAGGTAAGTATACGTCTCTCCAGCATCCAGATGGTGTAGGATGCTTGTCTATTCCGAATTTTATATCGATATCATGCGTGTACTCTTCCACCACCCTCAAGGACTGATGGAGATCCGTCTCTCCAGAGGCATAAAGTTTAAGATCATCCATATAAAACAAATGGGTGACCTTGTGCCTCCGGTTTCCGGGGGTGCCCAGTTATACCCTCGAGTATATCTGAGCGCAACAGATAATGGCAATTGTGAGATGCAGAAAAGAAGGGGAATCACCCTGAAATACACCCCTGCTGAAAGTGACCCACCCTGTTTGGACTCTGGCTTGACCAGATGTTATGGTAAAGTGAGTTCGCCAAAGTGATATCAGTTGTTCAATACATCTCATTATTTTGTGGAATACCGCAAGGCATCTGAGCAATGCGATATTGTATCAACTGCCTTACGGTAATCGGTCCAGGCTATAGAGAGGTTATGCTTATATTGTGTAGAGTCCTGGGTTACACATCTATCGATTAGCAGGTTCCCTTTACATCCAGTGACTCCTCTCTTCGACCCACTCAGCTCATATATCCATTCGAACACTAGGTCAACTGCGGTGAGTATTCATGTGTATATTATTATTAATATTATTATTATTGATATTATTATTATCAGTTCAGAAGTTAGGCGGCCTAGTCGACTAAACTAGGTTACACATAGTTACACATTTTACATTTCATATCACAAAAAAAAGTAGAAAACTACATGCAGAGTAACATTACATTTCACAAAAACATATACAGTAATATCAGTCTATGAAAAAAGATAAACATAATATAAGCTCAAACTATAGAGGTATTGCAACCCTGAATGTTTTTGCTAAAACATTCCAATGTGTTAAAAATTCCTGAGAAATAGTGTATGTGCGCAGGTATTGCACTACTTATCTGCGTATCTGTCTGCGCTATTCTATCGTTTTCATGACATAAAACGACGAACGGTTCCACTTGCTACTAAATATTACTTTTCTTTGTTGGCTACATGCTCCGTACGGAAGCAAAAGCCAAGATAACATATAGAGACAACCTACTTTTCTTTGTACTTTGTTATTATTGTTGATGTGTCAATAAAAACATTCATTATTATAATTATCTTCTTTATATTTTTAAAATTCACGGCTTGACCAATCTTGAGAAATGGTGTATGTGCAAGTAGTACGTACTCCACTTCTTATCTGCGTATCTTCTTTATGTAAGACCTCGTTAATCCTTATCTCACACAAGTTTCGATTTCTGAGGGTTGTCGTACATAGAGTTCGACAACTGGTTATCGGAAAAACAGATTTTAAACAGATTGTTAAACAGAATCCACGCTTTAGTCCTTCAGATCATTTTAATGAATGTGCCAAATGTTTGCAGAATGTAAACCACCAGAATTTAACATCGTAATATGTAAACGTTAAAAACCATTCAAAGTTTGTCCTGCAGATTTGTCATCTCAGCCTAGAAATCGAGATAAAAACGTCAAATTGATTGCGACATAATTTATCTAATGCTAATCTACAATGACAATGAACAGTACGTACCTATACTTACTATTAATAAGTTGAAAATTATTTTCATGTCTAATTTAAAACAACGTTTGATGAGACAGATAGTATATATTCAGAAAATATCTATCACCGTTGTCATTCATTTTGTAGCACTTGGAGTCCTCGCAAGTCTAACAATGAGTCAGTTGGAATGCGAAACACTTCGTTTACAATGTGTTCTCATAAAACATCGAATGTATTCAAGTCAGGTGATCGAGGTGATGCAAGGTTCAAGCTTTGTTCAAGGATCATGAGGTGCTCAGGGCAGGTTCGACAGTAAAGATGATTAATTTCACCACAAAGGTGGAAATTTACTGAGCCCTCAATTTTTGAAGCTCAAACCAAGCTCAAATATACATTTGAATTATGTGGCGTATTTATTTTTGAAGTTGAAATTCATTCATCTTTTTCAGATTTATTCTATATTATACATATACTAGTATAGTCGAAGTAAACGGTATTGTGCATATTTAATGGTGTCGGCGCTCTCAAAGGTCAAAAAACCAATACAGAGAAATGAAACCGCTGTCAACTAGTCCACGTGGACTGAAGAATTGGCGGTTCTTATTGGATAATTTTTACTAACCGAGTGTTATGATTGGCTGAAGAGTCATAAAATTAAATTTGAATTCATGTTACGGTGACGAATAGAATGCGAGGATGTTTATACCCGGTTTGTTGTCGATGTTCAGTTCAGGAACTGATCGCGATTTGAGTGTTGAAATTCGATATTGGTGCTGTAATAATTACTTGAAATTTTTGTTATCTGTTTAAAATGTGGCGTCCTTGGACAAGTACTAATAGTAATATCGAGTGTGATAACAACGCAGACTTTTTCCTGTGTAGTGATTCCAATAGCGATGGTGAACAATGCGAAAAAGAGATACCATTGAATAAGATTCGGGTGCATTTGAATATTGAAACATATCAGACGTTGGTGACGGTTGTGTTAGTTTTGCGATTTTTTTCATGGGTGACATAATTCTTTTCTCGAAGCTGTTCATTACTTAGTGTAGTTGGTTAATTTTTTCAGGTACTGCATTTTTAAAGTGAAAATATAAAATACTAGCTGTTGCCGCTCTTATATTAACGTGGCAGCCGAAGCTGCTGGACCTAGAATCTTGAAATATGCAGGTAGGTTCTTTGTATAGCGTAAATAAGCATCAAGAAAGGCAATCAGGAATTTTCAACCCCAAAGGAGAAAAATAGGAGTTCAAAGATTGTATTGAATTTCTTCAGTTTTAAAGTTGGAAACCTGAAGTTTTGGGTTAATGAAAAAATATTGTATCTATTTGTTCAAAATGGTCTGCCACGAAACTTAATGTGACAAATCAAATTCTACGCGGGCGAAGCCGTGGGCAACAACTAGTAATACTATAGGTTTTTGTTCAAATTCGACATTTTTCGAAGCTATATACCTTTTAGCTGTCTCCATATATTTTCTAGTACAAAATAGCAATGAAATTATTTGAAATAACAATTCGATGAGGCCAGCCTCAACTCACCCACAATGTAGGTTAATGGGCTGACATCTATCAGAAAACAACTACTTCTCTGGCTAATACTACGAAGGGTGTTGGATTATATCCGACAGGCGCCAGTGCAGGATTCTTCACAGAAGTAGTTCATGCATATGCTGTTGGCGATACAGATGCTGGAATCGATTTTCAATTATTGAATTGCCCGTTTCATTTGCCTGAGACTGGCCTGAACGAATTGTTTCTATTTCAAAAAATTCAAGGAGTTCCATCCTTGTTAAAAAAGTTGAAGATTCTGCAGTGATTCTCAAATCGAACTTGTTTCCCATTCAAACAAAGTAGTGCTTTCGGATTTTTGCCGTAAGTTATGCCTTGCTGTTTGATTTTGATAATCCACTAAGATTAGATTTGAAATTTTGAAACATGTAAGTAATAATTCAAGTAATTGGATGAAGTCCGACATAAAAGTGTTCGTTGTTAGGTACTTGCCTGGCGTGAAAATCATTGAAATGTACCACCGATAATTGGAAAGGCTTGTTACGGTTTTCATATACTGGACTTGCATTTATCACAAATAAAACGATAGAAACGAATAACACCGCTGATAACCTTAACATTGTTGGGGAAACACTCTGCTGATACATGTATGAATGAAACTGATTAGTAAATTTCAAGTATCGTTTCACTGAAACCAGGCGCGTAGATAAAATAGGTGCATTACAAAAATTATTTATCTTTCATGAAAGAGTGTGAAATCATGCCAGCAAGTCAAGTTTCTGATTCGTTGAATATGATAGATAGATAGATTGAATATGATAGATAGGTAGATAGATAGATAGATGATGTTCCAGACTATCAAGGTTGTGAGTGATGNGATCAACAACCAGGGCCGCAAAGTAAAAGAGCGAGAATTAATTAAATACGCGAAGAACTGAAATTTTAGCTGCGGACATTAAAACACTCTTCTTAAACTACTGGAAAAGACACCTTGTTACGCCGTAGCACTTGAAGAATTATGTGACATTGTTGATGATGAACAAATGTCTATTTTCGTAATATTTTCTGACATTGAATATCAGATTTTTAGGGAAGAGTGGCTAGCAATATTGCCGTTGAAAGGTAACACTCAAGTTGAAGACTTATTCAAGGCCATTGATGATTTTATTACGAAATATAACATCAGTTATGATAAAATGGTTTCGCTTTCAACTAACGGGGCCCCAGCAATGATCAGCAAATAAAAAGGTGTAGTAAAGAGAATCAGAGATAAAAATTCAGATCTAATGTCGTATCAGTGCATAATTCACCAGGCAGCCCTTTGTGGAAAACTAAGTACTACACTCAAAGAAGGGATGGACAATTTGGTCAAGTTGATTATTTGTATGAGATCCCATTCTGCATTTCAGCACCGACATTTCAAAGAGTTCTTTTTTAAATGTGATTCTGCGTTTTCTGACTTCGTTGGCTAAGTAAAGGTCAAGTTATTGAACGTTTCTGGCTAATAAAAGAACAAATATCCTCCCTTCGGTCGGTCGGTCGATAGCCAAGCGGTTCGGCATGGGTGCTTTGTTCACTCACTCGAATTGACTGCCGTGTTGGTCGGTGGTTCAAGCCCTAGTCTGAACGATCGATCTTCACTTGCTATCGTCCAACCCGTGTTAGGAATCACACGTTAAAAGGTAAGACCTCGTTAATCCTTAGCTCGCACAAGTTTCGACTTCTGAGGGTTGTCGTTCGTAGGGGTGCGACAGCTGGTTAACGGAAAAACAGATTTTAAACAGATTTTTCTTGCAAAACTTGGATACGCAGGGAGCCAAAAAGCACTTTGAGTTCATAAAAAACGAGCACAATATGCTGGTTGTGGCTTTTGTGAAAGATATTTCAAAATATTTGAATACGCTCAATACAGAGTTACAAGAAAATGGAAAATTAATATGTGATGCGATACAAAGCGTGTCTGCTTTTCATCGTGAGCTGGATATCTTTGAAAAAGATATCGTTAAACAAGAATTTATTCATTTTCCGACAATTCTTGAAGGAGACATTGCAGAGTTTGTAAAATTTCTGGCCGATCTTAAGAACGAATTTGCTACAAGATTCCAAAACTTTGCAGAGGTAGGCAAGCTATGTTCGTTTCTTAAATTTCCATTTGAAATTGATGCAGCGGCAAAATGGACAGATGTGGCTGCCAAATTGGTTAATCTGTCAAAGCCATCACTTCAAATGGAGATAATCGATTTGCAAGAAGATGTGCCTTCGCAAATGTATAGAACGATATCCACTGAAGGATTTCGGGCCAAACATGTCCAAGAAAAATATGAAAATTGTAAAAGACTAGCTATCAATTTGGCCATTTTGTTCTACTATGTGGCGTATGCTCATCGATAGAGAATTTTTTACTCGATATACATTGATGCTTTTCATTTTTTTCCAAGTTTTAGTTTTGATTATTTCCAGCAGGTATTTGGCAATGATAGTATTAATGAATTTCAGTTCCGGAGATTTTAGCTTCGAAGATGAGCCCCAAAGTGGTAGGTCGACTTACAGTAATCCAGGGCGAGGATTTGAAGACCCTACTGGAGACTGACCCATCACAAACGGTGTATGGGATGGCGGAAGAACTGGGCGTCAGCTCCTATAGGTTTTTGATGGTTTGAAACGTATTGGAAAGGTAAACAAGCTCGAAAAGTGGCTGCCCCGCGATTTGAACGATCGACAGAAATTGAGCGTCGAAGTTCTATCACACCCACCATACTCCCCAGACCTCTCACTAATCGACTACCATATTTTCAAACAGTTCGATAACTTTCTCATCGGTAAAACCTTCTCCAATCAGGACCAAGCAAAATGCCTTCGTCGACTTCACCGAGTACGCAATTTTTACGCTGACGAAATTAATCGACTTGTGTTAGGTTGGTAAAAGTGCATTGATACAAACGAACAAACCTTTAAGAGAGTATTTTTAACTCTGTATCATGCAACTATCGGTTGTCAATTTCGATATGGATATTTGAACTGGGTATGAGTTCCGCTACAGAGAGGGATTTTATACTGCTATAAGAATAATTAACCAAGAAGGAATCGTGTAGAAATTCTTTCGAAGAACTGAAAATACCCTCAGTAGCTGTTATTTATATGTACATATATGAGACATGTGAAAATATGAGTAAATTCTTTCTCGAACAATAAAATCATTCCTACCCTACTAGGGCTAGATGAATACGGGAAAAAATTGTGATTGAAAAAGATACTTTTTACATTATGTTATCTCTCTCCCCCTTTGGATGGCCGGCTTCCCACTCCGGTGCATTTGACCAATTCCTGTCAACACTGTTGACAGGAACTCCTGTCAACAACTCCTGTCAACACTGTTGACAGGAGTTTTCGTGTGGGGGCGCAGCATACGTGGTTATCCGAACCACTTCGGCCTGGATACCGGCGGGAATAACGAGGACCCTTATTTATCAATTGATACGCTTCCTTTATACAAATAGTCTACTTTATTGTTTGGCATTCACTTCAGAAAAAGGAGCCCCGCAATTGCACATGGCATCGTTATTGGCATGGCGATCATTATAGGCACGTCCGTCCACTAACACTGCCGCCACAGCAATATCAAAAAGGCAATATCAAACTTCTTTTATCGCTAGAAATCTCACCAAGTATCATTGAAAGGAAAATTTTATATTGATACTGATTCATATATTACGTTGCTTAGCGGTCCCGTGAAAAATATCTATTTCAGTACAAATTGGCCAGGAAAAAGCGATATTCTTGTAATTTCAGTATTCGATAGGTTTTGGAAGTAGTCGAAAGTATTTTTTGTGCAATATCTATACATCTTTGCGAAGAGTTTATTTTAGAGTGGATAACTTAAGGGGTACCCAATTATCGGAATTGTGGTGGAAACTTATCCACTGCTCTCTCAAAATATTATTGCATAAAAATCTGTGAAAACTGAAAGGGAGGCTCAACAATGTTTGACAATTGTTCAAACATTCAATTCATAGAGCACTCAAGTCCTGACATCATTGAAACATTACAAACTATTGATACACTCTATACACTCCAAACTTCCATTTTGAAAGAGTCATGTAATTGTTAACCACTCAGAGTAATTGTTACTCTGAGTGGTTAACAATCTTGATTACGGAACAGGCCAAAATAACATCAATTGTCCTGTGTCAATTGTCGTTGCCATCAGTTTTCTGTTTTCTTTTTAGTTTGAGTTTCGTGTAAGGAGGAATAATTCTTTGTAAAAATGAAGTGAGTTCTCAAATATATTTTATTAATCATGAATAATTTTATACATTTTCAATGTTGAATATGAACACCATAGACTAGATTATATATTTGTATCAATATTTTCTTAATTTTTAGGATCGGACTCTGCGCCTACAGTGGGTATAAAATTTACCCAGGCCATGGAAAAACTATGGTTAAAGTTGATGGAAAGGTAACCTTATGCATTTTATTTTTCAAGATCACTCAATATTCAATACAGCACATGCATATTTACAAACAATAATATAAACAGTATTGAGAGTTCTTTCCTACCTTTGGGTACATCAAATGTATATTTTATTAATGCTGTATCAATTGGTAATGCCTTTTACATTTTCAGACATTCACCTTCCTCAACTCAAAATGTGAACGGGCTCACCTTCTTAAGAGGAATCCTCGTAAAGTAACTTGGACTGTCTTGTACAGACGTAAGCACAGGAAGGGCCAGGAAGAAGAGGCCACAAAAAAGCGAACTAGGAGAACTCAAAAATTCCAGCGAGCTATTGTAGGAGCATCTCTGAATGACATCATGGCCAAGAGGAATCAGAGGCCCGAAGTGAGGAAAGCACAAAGGGAACAAGCTATCCGGTAAGTTGCGAAATTAATAATATTATGCACTTGCATGAATCCTATCAAAGTCCTATCCTGCTTAAATGTAATTGGATGAAAGTGAACCAAATTGCTAAAACCACAACAATTTATCGGGCTGCTGTTTTCAATACTCTGTTGAGTGCATGAGCATAATTTTGCAAGAGAGAAGTCATAATTTCTATGCAAAATTTGCCGAAGATTACAGCATTATTTTAATTTCTAAACCTCTACAATTCTTATATACCTGAGATAGCTCTTCAATTATGATTACCTGAAGCATATTACCTCACTTCTACATCAATAATAATACTTCCATGTTTTTTTTTTAAGAAAACAAATTCAATAATGGTGATATTTATATACCACAGTTAACTACAATTGAGACTACATCCATCAAATTACCTAAACCTCTACAATTTTTATATACTCGAGGTAGCTCTTCAATTATGATTACCTGAAGCATATTACCTCACTTTTACATCAATAATAATACTTCCATGTTTTTTTTTTAAGAAAACAAATTCAATAATGGTGATCTATTCAAATTCAGTAAGTTTATTAATTTCCATTACTTCCAAATGATTCAGTTTCATACCTTTATTTCTATGTTAAAGACTTGATTTTCTTCTAAAAGATGTTTTATCTTTATTATTTTTACCTAACTTTCCCAACATATTACTTGTTCTATATGTAATTTTAATATCTTGTTTTCTCAAAAATATGCCATGTTTTCTGTTGTTTGTCCAAAATACGTTAAAGTTCTATAATTTTGATTATCTAACTCATCAATAGGAAAAACTTACCGAATCGCTTTTGCGTAGACTTTCTTGGAAAGTATTTTGTTTGTTAGTTGAGCTATAAACCTATTGTTTACTGCAATTAGCTTGATGATATTGAGTTCTTTAGTGAAATTATCTAGTGAAAGGGAAACATTGACTAATCTGTGGATCATGCTATTATAAGCTGCTACTTTGTGTTGATATGGATGGGTAGAATCGTAATGTATAGTAATATCAGTATGACGGTTTGTGATGAATTGAAAAATCATGTTTGTTGTTCATTCTACTAATTGTTAAGTCCAAGAAATTGATAGAGTTTGAATCCATGAAAATTCCCGCAAGTAAGGGGTTTAACGGATTTCCCATAATTAAACCTTTCAAAGAGGAATAAATATTGTTAAATTGAAAATAACTTTTTTTGAGACATAACGTGCCGACAGAAGTCAGAAATCACAAAATATGTCAATGCTCTTGAATATGTCTAAGCAACTTGAGACTTGTGCATACATCCATTCCTATTTATCTAATGAAACAGAAGAAATTATTGTTTCTCATTCTAAATTCACTGGTGTGTAGCATATCTGTAAATGATATTTGTTTCGATTCCATTATGATATTTGGAATGCAAATTGAATGAAAAAGTTGACTTCCATGAAGTTGTCTATTTTTTTTTCAGAAGTTTCCCATTTTCTTTATGATGCTGGAGAATAGAAATGTTTTGTCCACAATTAATATTTCTGTTGAACTGTTCTATTAGCAAATTCTTTATTACTACCTGGCAATATCCAAACAATATGAACATTGTTGCTATTTCCATTGAGTGTTCAATTATTTAATTCAAATTTGGACAGCACTTTTTCATAGAATGTTGTACCCTCCCTTTTTGGATAATATATTTCAAATCATATAAATGAAAGTCATTAGTTCACTTTTCTTTATTTTCAGTGCTGCAAAGGAACAGAAGAAAGGCACTAAACCAACCACCAAAAAACCAGCAGCCCCAGCAAAAACTAAGGCAGCACCTAAACAGAAAGCCAACAAGAATGTAATGAAAGCTGCACCTAGAGTAGGAGGAAAACGTTAAATTGTTTTTTGAACTTGTGAAAATAAAAAGTTTAAAAAGCTTATTTTTTTTCTGAAATATCACAATTTTCTCATAGATGAATTTTGAATTATTTGTTTTTTGAAGGACCAATGAAAATGGTTGAAATTTCCCAAGGCTGCAACATCCCTCATGAATATTTAAAAATGAATTGTGGTATAGAAAGATCCTATAACATGCATTGTTTCTATTCAACATCATCAAATAACTGATCAGGATTTTTTTTAGCAGGTCATCATAACTATATTTCTTACTCTTTTTTGGGTATATATCCTCCACAATCTGAAAAAATAGCTGAATCAATAAAGACTCTGCTGACGTATAGTGAAGGTGAAACTGAAAAGTTACTGAATAATTTAAACCAGGAGTCCAATTAGTGAGTAATTTGTAGTCATAATGTTTGCCTGCAAATCGAGAAAATTAAATATTCACACTTAACTTTCTTTAGTGGTCTACATTATGAAAAACTATATCTTTTCTGTTTTCAAAACCTGACATGCACTTTTAAAACTTTCGCCTCGAATTATGAATATCTTCGATTCTTTTCACATACATCATCGAAGGACTTTTTTGTTTGTTCTGATGACAAGTGTTACATGTAGAAATGAATGTGATGTCAAATGTATATGGCTAAACAGTAAAAAGTATTGAGTCCTTCACAAAAAATATCTCAAAGAATTTTGAAATATTTTGGAGGCTTCAAATGGAAGAAAACTATTTCAAGAACAATTACAGAGTACCAAGTGATTTTTCACCTGTAACAAAATTTCAAAAGGTACTGTTGGCGGAATAAATGCAATAATTATAAAGTTAGTTGATGACACAGTATTTTTTGTAATTGAAGTAAAATCGTTGTTTTAGGGGTGGTCATTTCAAATATTTCCTGATTAATCTCCCAAATGTAGTTACAATATTCCACAATTCTTCGCTAACTGAAATTTTAAGAAAAACTGTCCATGAAAAAACTTCGGTCCGATGAACAATAAGTTTTGAATTTACTAGGCATGTGTACATTCCAGTAAAAGAATGTTATAATAGATAACGAACATTTTATATTTTTTTACTACGCCTCCTTGTGGCAATTTTATTCCTTTAGTTTGACTTTCGAATTACCAAACCTAGATGCCGCCTACTCCGTAGTGCTGATTCTTGAAATCAGTTTCCATTCAATAATTTTACAAAATCAATTAGTAAAACATGTTCTTTTATAATTGAAATATCATTAGAATTCAAATCGCAATTTAATTCTATCTAATGCGAAAAAATTAAGATACTCCGTAGTGCTGATTCTTGAAATCAGTTTCCATTCAATAATTTTACAAAATCAATTAGTAAAACATGTTCTTTTATAATTAAAATATCATTAGAATTCAAATCGCAATTTAATTCTATCTAATGCGAAAAAATTAAGATACTTGAAAGAGAAGAAGAGTGTGACAGTTTAAACTAAACTAACCTATAATTTTGTGAAGTGGCGTTTCTGTGATAAATATATTCACTTGACGTGGACTTTACTTAATTTTCTTCCATAAGAACCACAAAAAGCCAAAATGGACCTAGCTACTATGTTTGACGATGTTAAACGAATGAATAAGAGACAAGTAAGTTACACTTTTCAACTGTTTTTGTTTCCATTATTCAATATGTTAACATTTTCAGTTCATATACCAAGTACTCAGTTTTGGAATGATAGTTTCCTCAGCTCTGATGATATGGAAAGGGTTAATGGTTGTTACTGGTAGCGAGAGTCCAATAGTTGTAGTTTTGTCTGGTAGTATGGAACCTGCATTTCACAGAGGGGACTTACTTTTTCTAACTAACTATCCCGAAGAACCAGTCAGAGTTGGAGAAATAGTTGTGTTCAAAGTAGAAGGAAGAGACATTCCCATAGTACATCGGGTACTTAAACTCCATGAAAAGTATGTAGTAACAATAAAAAATTAGATGAATCACTTCATACTATTTTGAAACATCTATTGATTTTATTCATATTATATTATTTGTAAAAAGAAAAAATCAAAGGAATATCTGTAAAAATTCTTCATCAGTATTGCATATTTTTTCTGCTGATCATATATCATCAAAAAGGTGCTTCAGTTTACTTTAGAATCTGTGGACACTCAAAAGTTAAAAAGTCAACTATTTGAGGAACATGTATAATGACCACTTTTTTACAATCACATACTAAGGACCTTTCTTCACATGTTTCTTTAACTTTTTCTTCAAAACGTTTAATTTCCCTAAAATTATATGTTTTCTAACAAACTACATTTCACTTATTGATGAAACTGAGTAATATGAGAGACTTTTGTGTTTGTTCTGATGACAGTCTTACATGTAGAAATGAAAGTTATGTCAATTTATATGGCTATGGAATAGATGAGAAATCCAACTTTTTTTATAATTTGGAATTTGCTTCCACATTTATTTCCAACACACATTTCACCAGAAGATGAACTATACCAACTTCTAACTGTAACTTCGCCTTCTCATATCTAACTAGGGCAACTTTTACTTTTTGTATTCAGCACTATTATTATAGATCAATTTCTGATGACGCCAATTTGGTTGAAGAAAGGTGGTACATTTCTAGTGTATGGAAGCAGTATTTGTTGTGAAAAATCCTATTGACAAGAAAAATACATTATTCAATAAGAAAGGAAGCTTTCAAAAAGTGATGCTTGTTTTCTAAGGCAAAGCTAAGAAAAATTTATGAAATTTTGCAACATTATTTTCATTTCTACTTATACTTTCATGATGTTGTGGAAAAAAAGGTTAACAGAAACTCTAGGGGATTGAAGATATCATTTGAAATATAGTTTTTCTGTGATTTCAGTAGTAGATATCTAATATAAATTGTTGGTGTTGAAATAAAAAAAACTGACTTTCATATACCTCATTTAATATCTTGAGTGGAAGTAGTTGATACAAATTGGTTTTTTCTTGAATTTGTTTTTTCTTTGTAACTTTTTTATTCCCTGTATATTGAAGAAGCAGAAAAACAATAAGGGTTTTTCCAAAAATATGTTTTCTTAGGTATAATGCAGATATTTCACTGCACTAATTCCCATTGAAATAATTTTTAGGAAGAATGGTACTGTTAAATTCCTAACGAAAGGTGACAATAACAGTGTAGATGATAGAGGATTATATGCACCAGGCCAGTTATGGCTAACAAAACAAGACGTTGTAGGAAGGGCGAGGGGATTTCTTCCTTATGTAGGGATGGTTACCATTTTGATGAATGAATATCCCAAATTTAAGGTAACTCATTACATTACAAAAAAAGTCACTACTCATCATAATTATTAGGCATTTGTTTTATGTATACAAATTTTGTTTCAAAACAAAGAAACTAAGTTTGTGGTAATGATCAGAGAATATTACGTAGATATTGTAGCAAATTTCTTCTTGTGTACAATGAAAACGCATTGATGTTGCCATATTGATCATTTACCAAAACATTGAAATTGAATTGAAAACATCAACTATTGATGCTCATCCATAATTACAAGTGAAGGATACTAAAAATTGGGGGAACTCTTTCCTTAATCAATGTTGCCAATATAATTCCTCATATACTCATTAACCTAAGGCATTAAACGTGTCTTCAATGCTTTTTACACATGTACATATAAGCCATATTCAATCTTGTTAATGAATTAGTAAATTTGTTACCAAATGATGATGACAATTTTTTTTCAGTATGCAGTTTTAGCTGGTCTCGGTTTCTACGTGTTGGTCCATAGGGAATGAGATTCAAATAAGATTCTTCAATTACATGACCTTTTCTATTTTTTGTTACTTATTTAAAATAAACTTCACTGGTAATATAAATGGAGATATATTATTTCAGAAACTCTTAGAAAACATCGGTATATATCCTTAGTACTTGAATGAAATGAATAAAAAATACTTTTGTCTAAATACCACTGGTAGATTTTATTTATATGACCGGTTTCGGGTTTGACCCCACTATCAAGTCCCCACTAGACAAGTGTTTTTTATTCATTTCATTCAAGTGATCATGAATTACCATAAAGTACACAAGTCATCAATCACACATAATATATCCTTAGAAGTTGTAAGATATTCATAGTCTGGCAAGGATACAAATCAATAGTTTTTCTTCGAGCAGAAGAATGGAAAACCTAAAATGTCAGCATCTCTGAAGGTGTAGAAGAGTCACAAAATATAAATTTCACTAAATTTCGATTTCATTGTCAAAATTCAAGAAATTTCTGACCTCAAAAGTCGGAATCTAATAAAATTTCAGGTTTGAAGCCAGAGTCAATGTCGGAATTTAACAATATTCCGAGATAAAAGAGGAAATTTTCTAATAATAATTTCGTTAAATTCCTGCCATCAACTTAGAGAAATTATGTAAAACATATTCTGAGTTACTTTTTCCCTATTTCTTGTCTCTTGAACATATTGAACCAATCAGAAGATTTTGAACTAGTGTAAAGTATCATTCCCCATTAAATTGCAGACTTTTGGATCAGAACAGGAAAGCCATTACTTTGCTTAAATTTATAAAAAAGTATGTGCACCAAATAGTAAATCAAAAGCAATTTGATCAATTGTTAATGGTAATAATAATAATATTCATCAAGTATAATAAATTACAAGTAATAATTGGATTCATTGGCATCTCAAACTGTATATGGGAAAATGAATTAAGGAACTTCAAACAAAAGTAAACTTTTTTGCGAGTTGGCCAATTTAGTTTCAAATTTTAATGTTATTACTCGAACACTGAAGTACTATAACTTACAACTGAATAGTTGAGTTACAAAAATAAAAACTAATAAAAATATATTTATTATTCGATCTGTTCTCTAGTATTTGTGAAATTATGCATATTGATTTTTTCAATACTACGTATTCACTAGGAAATATTATGTTTGAAAACGCTATATATATGTGGTGATAGTTTTTGAGGACGGCAGTAAGGCATTATATAATTTTGAACCTAGGTAAGTTGAGAGTCTTTACAATATAACTTTTGGGGTCTTGTGTGATATGGATTAATTCTTATTTATGTGAAAATTGATGATATAATTTTCTATTTTTTTATTGCTGCCAAGATGTACATGTCCAAACAATTAAGCCGTAACTTTAGACTTGAGAAAAATACAAAGTGCTGAGATAATATACCGAAAGGATATTTGTCGAGTTTATTGACATTTTGTCCCACTGTCGCTATAATAATTTTAACGGGTAAATGAGAGCTGTAGTAAATAAATAGAAGAAAATGTGTGTTTTTTTTAAATTGCTTGTAAATAATTACTTCCCAACAAGTTCACATATATTTCAAAATTCTTTCTGTATAATGCTCTTGAACACCTCCTACGAGTTACTTGAATTTAACACAGCTGTGTCGTCAATGAAACTTGTGATTTCATCAGATATTTTCTGATGAAACAGATAATCAGTGTGGGACCTAATACAGTTCCCTGTGATACACCATATTCTATTATTTTTGATGCGACATTGGTAAACTTACGAAAAATGTATGTGTGTGCCTGAATGGCATGACCCAGTATATGCCTAAAAGTGACGCATATTTGGTGTAAATTTTTTTTTTATTCTGCGGATGTGAAATAGGATACATTATTGACTACTGAAAATAGTTTAACTCTTCTCAAATGAAAAAATGTTGGCCTTATTTTTCCCTCGTTTGTGATAAATTGATGATTTACATTTTCGATAATGAATTAAGTATTATAATATAGTTCATTTTTAAATTAAAACTATTTACTGAAAGAATCGGGGAGAATTCTTGCTACAATTCAATAATTAGTGGAATATTACAATCCAGTAGACTCTTCTAGACTTTCTACAAAATGAAAGTTAAAAACAGTTTACAGAAATTTCAGGGTACTTCTTTATTGTTCTAGAGGCTCATTTCATCACTAAACTTCAATCGCCTATGAACATCATTTCTGGTAAGCATTGCATTGTTGGTGCTACAAAATGTATGCTTGGTACATAAACATCAATCAAAATTTGAGTTACTTTCCACAGCAATTGTTCCTTCTGTATATAATGGCCTACAGTGTGTGACTACACATCCCCATCTTTAGTCTACTAAATAATATTTTTTTTTAATAATGGTGATAATTTTCTTGGAATTGAATGTTAAATGGGAAGACCTTGATAATCCTTAGGTCACACAAATCCCAACTTCTGAGGGTTGTCATATGTAAGTGATCTAATTGAGGTCATCTAATGGTAAGATTCAAAGAAATAATTGTTTCTGTGAAATAAACCATTCCTTTATTTCAATATTTTCCTCATTACAATCAATACATTGGGTGAGGAATGTAAGAATACACCAATACAAAAGTAAGAATTTTTTCAAAACTTAAACCTAAGTAACAGTAATATAAATTCAACAAAGCTAAATATAAAACAAAATTAACAAGCAAATTTTTGGTATATTTCAAATAAAAATTATACAAATTTATGGAATTAATAATCATTTTTAGAGTAAATGAAACACATCGATTCGCTTCATGAAAAGTGAATCATTCAGTTATGTACTTAAACTAAACATTGGAGGCAAGACAATTTAAACCAAGATCAAATAACAATAATAAACATTTCTAAATCAAATATAAGTCATACTTATTCAGTTGCCTGTTCAGGAAGTCATTTTACAAATAAAATTTCTAAAACCGATGAGCAAAGAATAAAAAAAAATAGGGTAACATTAAATAATCAATGTTTTGTAAAAACAGACGTCCATAGAAAAAAATGAGCAACAAGTGTGTCAGAATTTCTGATACAAATTCATATTTAGAGAGGTTCTCAATTCTTTCCTCCTCTTATAACTATTTTTTAAGCAGTTTCAAAGTTGACATAAGATCTTACTCTTTCATTTTCTCAAAACCACAGTTTTTCCAATATATTCATAAAATATCAATAATTTTAGGTAATACAAACTTTTGTTGAAAAATATCACATGAAATCTTTTTTTATTTCGCTTCAAGATACAAATAAACAGAAATGAGAACACAAAAATTGTGGCGTTCATCATATTTATAACAAAATAGTTCAAAGAAACTTTCTTTTTATTAATCTTCATATTTCGTATTGCTTCATCAAGTAGAATTAAAAAATAATTACTACAATTTAGCTTAACATTTGATCTTGATTTACATATTTTTTCAACATTTGATCTTGACCTACATATTTTTGTCTATGGTTTCATGTTCAATAACACATTTTTCATCCTTTTTTTTCTTGTTATTTTTCATATTTCGTATTGCTTCATCTAGTAGAATTTAAAAATAATTACCACAATTTAGCTTAACATTTGATCTTGATCTACATATTTTTTCAACATTTGATCTTGACCTACATATTTTTGTCCATGGGTTTCATGTTCAACTACACATTTTTCATCCTTTTTTTTCTTGTTATTTTTCCAAAATGAAAGATGACCATTAAAAGAAAAAAAAAGTTATTCTACAATTTTACGTCTCATGAAGGTAAAATTATTTTAGTTTCAAAGTAATCTATTTTTTTAGGAAATTTCTTGAAGTGAGGAGTAATTTCAGTTTCAAATTGAAAATAGCTCTGTACAATATTACACAAGAAATTGTATTACAACTGTTGGGAGCCAACTGTATGGGGTCATTACTCTATTTGCATGTTTCTAAAGTGTATTTTCGTCTAATTATTCAATAATAATCACCTCGAAAATTTCATAGTTTTTTTTTCATGGTTTCTCAAAAGTCAAACAGTTTAATTCGATGTCATCTATTACATCAATAAGGTAACAAATTGAAAGTGTCCTCTATATTTATTATGTTTTATGAATAACGAGAATAGGTTAACCAAGAACCACAGTAAAAAAACTAGTTAACGTCACTTTAAAATTATTGGAAATGTATAAAAATAAACGTTTAAAAATGACAGTAATTAGGAACAGCTCATACTACATTTCAAATTTTCACCAATAGATTTTTTGCTAGATAAGCAAACATATATCCAAGATTTCAAAGTAGTTGAAAATTTTATATCTCTCCTAGTATCACAAGATGAACGTCTCATGCAACAATAATTTTTATTCGTGTTTTTGAGTCAACAGATCGCTTGTAACATTAGCAAATCAGGCAATTGAAAAACTAAGAAACAAAGAATATTGAATCAGAGATTGAAATTTCAGAAAATGTTGCTCATTTTATCATATTTCTTCCCTAACAACAAATAAAATATACCCAAACCATTTCTTCATCACTATTCTAATAAATGCCATCTTATCTTGGAAAAAGTTACTTGTTTATATTTATTTATTTCTTGGACGGATGCGTCAATGTCTCTACATTTGCATGTTTCTTGTAACTTAAGAAAATAATATTTTTATGTATAAGATCTCATAAAACATATGTTGGGAAAAGAGTTTTTTGAACTCTAATTCCTAAAATTTATTAAAGCGTATATTATATAAATCTATTCTCACAAACGAAACTAGAAGTACATAATTTCTCTAACAATATCTGAAAAATGTCTAGAAATTTGAAAGTGTTTACAAAAATTGCTGCTACTTCATTAATATATCCGTTTAGTCCAAAATAACGTTTTTTATATTGTGCAAATATTTCATTGTGCTACTCAAACTGGTATAAATTTGATCGTGAATATCTCAAAATTACCTTTCTTAAGCTTATTTCAAAATTTTTGCGTGAATGAGGCACTTACAAGTTTGTGACCATGGCAGAAACAAGCAGGTTATCTTATAAAATATATTCACTGTCCAGGAAAAGAAAGAATATTTCCATTGCTCATTATTGCTTACTCTAAAATCTTTACAAGATTAATCCCAAGCTTCAAGTTTGGAAAACTGAAAGCATTTTATCATATCGTTTCGAGTCCAGGACAATGTCCTAGAGGAATCAAAAACAATATCAAAAAACAAATTGTAATTGTTTTTCGATAGGTTTACTATTTTTTGTTGTTTTATATTCCTCTTAATTCCCAATTGATATGGGTTTCTCATGCAAGTCAGTGGCGCCACCAAAAATTATTTGTTAAAGTAAGCATTCATCTACCTATATGAGTTTACCCAGGAATAATTGAACAATTGAATTATTTTTGTCTATTTCAAATATCCTCAATAAAATCAACCCTATTTATCTTCCTCAAAAACAGAATTGAATGGTGGAATTTTGTAATAATGGAAAGAACCCCTATATTCATTATTTGAAATTATAAATATTGAACAGAAATATATTGTTGGAAGGTATTTTTATCAGATAAGTTTGTGTTTGAGGAGATATTTGAAATACAAAATTTAGAGACATGCCGCTGTAAAAGTAAGCAATTCATGAAAAATTAGAATATTTGTAGCCTCAAAATGCAAATGGAAAAAGCAGTTTCCAGTGTTAATCATAATAATTCATTTACCAGGTAGATAAAAGAGACCAGTTTATATCTATAGAATACCAAAATATGATTAATAGAGGCATACAAATTCTTCCAATTGTTTTCAGTTATTCAAATTCCCTGTGATCATTCAATACAAATAGTGATATGTTGCCGTGGTATTTCAGAAAAAACTGCCGCTCTTGCATATTTACCCTGTTTTCGGTTTTTCAAATGAAAGAGCCTGTCACTTGTAACAAAAGTAATCTATTTAAGTATACCCCTTCTTAACTTAAAATACAATAACTTACCTAATAGTTTTAATATAACTAGCTTTGGATTGGAACAAAGCACTTTCAGTGATCTGAAAGGAGATAACAAAAGACGTTTGTAGATGTCCCAAAAGCAAACTGTCGAATTTTGAATTGATTTCAAGTTATCGACTCTTCACTTCTTCATTTTTGTAGCTTCCTATACGCTGTAATTGTTCAAATCAAGGTTTTTTTTCAATGATCAAAAATGTATATTATAGTTTTCTTATGGGAAATCTCAAAGCATATGAATGAAAGATACTCAATGTTTTTGATTATTCATAATACAAATAGAATAAAAATTAGTTTATTGTTGAATTTTGCTACAAATTTGGATTGAATGCGGAGTAAATTCAAAAGTTAAGGTATTATTAGTTTCAAATCAGTAATTATGCAATGTTTATACCTTAAATAGTTCAATATTTTCATTAGGTAATTCCCCAGATTAATTGTTGAAAACATAAAATCTCTGTGAATCCCCTGCCTATTTTCATGAAATCCACTTTGATAGCAAGGGATTCCCAGCACAGACAAAGATGAGATGCCTCTACACATAGATGGGATTCCCCTACCTACAGAAACAAAGATGGGATTTCCCTTCACAGATTCATTTCACCAGGAATTTTGAAAAAAAATATAGCTAGAAATTTTTGAAAAATAATTAAAGGTGAAATTATTTTAGTTTCAAAGTAATCTATTTTTTTAGGAATTGCTTGTAACTATATCTTGACCAGTAAGATCACCGAATTTGATAACCTTTGTGTTGTTACTTTGAGTGCATATATACAGAATCATATTTTCAAAACGAAATTTCTCGAGTGAGGAGTAATTTCAGTTTCAAATTGAAAATAGCTCTGTACAATATTACACAAGAAATTGTATTACAACTGTTGGGAGCCAACTGTATGGGGTTAATAGATATAAAAAGATGTATCGACTACAGAAGTATAAAGGAATGTTGTCCTAAAAATCCACAAGACTTTGAATAAATGTAGAAGATTTGAAAGAAATAAAAAACAATACTGAAAATTCAATCCAAAAGAGTAGATCAGAAGATTTTTCATGGCTCATACTTATTCGTATTTTTGCTTGAATAAACTTTGTACCACATTTACCAGAAGGAATTTAAAAAATTAAATGTTAAATATTAGGCATATCAAGATAGCTCTCCTATAGGAGCACTGTCTAGCCACAACTTGTGTAAAAAATGATATAAGTTATCACTCACTGAAACTTTATAGGGAGTTGGATTCAAGCTTCTTTTGATATCAGGCCTCAAAATCTTCAGGGAGTTGTTGACATTTTCCTTAATCTCTTGAAGATTCGGCAAGGGCTGGCAGATTTTACCATCGTTCCAGAACAAGACCAATAAGTTCTCCACCTTCGATGGTATTACATAAGCTCTTTTAGATTCTTCAAAAGGATGCCTGCAGAGCACTTTCTGCTGAACTATCGGTGGATCTTCATCTGATCTTTGCAGTAAATCTATCAGGGAAAAAGTGTTACCGTACAATCTGAAAACATTCTTTTTACCTGGAATAGTGACTTTGGCCATATCGTGACTCAGTTTTATGCGAGGTTCTTCATTCAATTCCACCAACTTGTACACACAACCAAGGGCAGGTTGCTTTTGACAGGTAACTAGATGGGTTCCAATACCAAAGGAGTCAATACAATGCCCCTGTTCGTTCAAACTCAGAATAGTCTCTTCATTGATGTCATTAGAAGCCATTATTGCCAAATCTTTGAAGTAAGGTATCTTGAATTCACAACTGATTCTCTGAAAGTAATCTCTCGCTACTCTGGATAAGTAAGCTAGATCACCACTATCCAGCCTGATACCCAAAGCTTTGTAGCCAAAATCATTCAAAGCAAGTGCAACAGCACAGAAGTTCAGAAGTCCACTGCGTTTAACGTCGTAAGTATCAACAAGTGCCATGAAGCCATTGGGAAAAGCTGTTGCGAAGGATATAAAAGCAGCAAACTCTCCGTCGCTTACTTCGGATAAAACAATATTGAACAGAGAAGCAATGATTTCTCTCCACTTCAGTGCACTCTCTACAAAATCCTTAGGACCTCCGCCTTGACTAGGGGTCAGCAGCCTAGTATTAAGTTCCTCGAGACTACTGAATGATGTGATATATGAATGAGCATGAGTACCTTTCACAGGAATGTTGAACAGTTTTCCCGCTAATACATTACTTGTTCCATCAAAACCTCCAATATATGAATATTTAGAAGCTGAAAGGCCTCCATCTGGTCCTTGCGCTCTCCTCAAGCCAAATTCGTAAAGTTTCAATTTTCCCGCTGCTAGGCGATATCTTGCAGAGTTTGTAGCCATAAGACTAGCATAGTTTACAAGATTCAACAGTGTGGTTTCGAGCAGTTGAGCAACTATCAAGGGTCCCTCTACCCTAATCAGTGGGACACGAGGAAACACAACAGTCCCTTCCTTCACAGCATATAATTTGATTTTCTCAGCCGAAAGTGTTTTGAGGTATTCGTAGAAACTTTCTTCAACTGAGGCTGGTAATATTTGCCTGAGATAATGTATATCGCTGTCTGAATATCGAAACTTTTCAAGGAACTTCAAACATTCCTCCAAACCACCAAAAATAGTGAATTCGCCACTGAATGGATTTTTTCGAAAATACAAATCGAACACTGCATTACCTTCGGTTTTTCCCGTTTTCCAGTAGGCATAAGCCATTGTTATTTGATATAAATCCGTTAACAGTGGTTGGATAATACTGTTTTGACCAAGTTTTGCACCAAAGTTGTTCTCTTGGACTGCGCCATTATTCGCTATGGAATCCATAATTTTTGACGTTCACCGTGTGGCGATATATAAAATGAATGTACTTAGCGCTCGTAGTTGTTGAATTAATGGATTAATCCACTTTCTTCACCTTTGGCACATCGACCTTCACTCAACCTTATTTGTTTACATTTTGAAATCTGACAGCGGTAACGTACAGAATCAATTTCCCTGAATGCTGTATTTCCCATAAGCAGATACCACGAGGTTCGTTCGTCTGTAGAAAAAGTTACGATCCTCGAACTAGTACTGGTACTGAAAGCGAAAAATTTAAAAATCATTTTCGTTTACCACTTACAAACGAGTAAGTCATTTGTCATTGGCTGCGTCTAGGATGAAAAACGGAAAGCGCTGCCCTGAATCAACTAAACTAACAGTATATTATTATAATTATATCAGATGTAATGTCAAATTTTGAAATATATATTACGTAGATATATATTCAACAGATTTCAAATAGCAAAATAGTCCCTATTGATTATGATTTCATTATATTAGTTCCTAATATTATGCCAATTTTCCAATTGCTAAGGCATTAATGTGAACAAAATTAGATCTGTCAGATTATGTATGAGTTGATTGGTGGAGGAAAAACGCTTCAATTTCATTCAGAAAATAACGTCTGCAACATTCAGCGGACACGTTATGGGTGGAAGACAAAAATGAAAATAGACAATGACAAAATTTTGCGCCCAAGGTTTACAGTTTTCGAATTAGTGGATTACGAAATTAGTATTGGCAGGAACCAACTGATTGAATTGTTGACATGTTTTTCGATTACGGAAAAAATTAAAATATGTTTTTCATCCAATGAAAATACTCACGGAACACAAGGATACAGAAGATTTCACTATTTTCTGATGTATAAGTACTCTTTATGTTGTCATTATAAATATCAATTCATATAGAGAATGTATATAAATAATGTGAATTGAAAAACACACACTTTTCCCAATCACCGGAAATGCAATACTCTTCTCGACGCGTGTTTCACCAACCAACCAGAAAACTGTTTCGTTTATCTCTTGAAGACACCGAAACGCGCGTTGAGAAGAGTATTGAAATTCTGGTTATTGGAAAAAGTTATTGTTTTTGGAATAATTCTACGTCAGAGATTACAGTTTTACTCTTCATCGTGTATATTGGTTTCACTGAATCTCAGTATATCTATAAACTTACTTTTTCCCATAAGCTTATTCGATTTTTGGTAATTTAATTTTTATTTCTATTTTGTGTTTTTTCATGTGCCAAAATTGAGTATGCAAAATATGGAATTCCTTGTCTGTACCTGAGATCCCGTTTACGTTAACTCAATAATTCATATTTTTTTACTTGAATTGTACAATTTTGACCAGTTATCTTCCGTATCTCTTAGTCAGCATGATTTATTTCAAGAATTTCAACAACTTTTAAGCGTTGCCACATGTATTTTGGGCTTTAGAAAGCTTGGCTCAAGTGGAGAAATCCACAAGTAGTGTTTTTTGATGAATAGTCGGTAATTTTGATATGTTATAGGAGTTGAATAATTATTGGTTTTTCAGGTACCTAGTATATTTGAGGATTTGTTTGTCGAAATGTATCAGTTATCGTGAGAACGGTCATCAATCGAACAAGTTCAATCGTAAGAGGTTAATGGCATCTCATAAAGAAAATTTGAAGTTAGGGCACAGATAGGGTATAAATACCTTTTAGCATTATACTTGTGGTGTCATTAGCAGTGTGACCCTTTTTTGGTTAGTGTTCCATGCTATAGAAATTTGTCAATTGTCAGTTTCATTGACGTAATAGTAAATATGTATATGTATGGTTAGTTTAATAAGTCTATTTGTTTTGAGTAGAATGTAGTAATATTCTACTTCCAGAAACTTTGAAGGAAAAATATTAGAATAAAAATGCCTCCAACGATCCAGCAAAGCGGTCAAAGTACCGCCAATGGTGTGGAGAAAAGACCTGTAAAACCCGTGGAAAAAAGGTAAGTAAGGGGTTTCATTTCAATATGTCTATTCCAACTCAATATTGTTTTCAGGTCAGATTTAATATGTAAAGTTAAATATTGTAATACGTTACCAGATATTCCGTTCGATTTGAAGTTCATATCCTACCCTTTTGAATCGATAAGGTAAGTGGCATTGTATAATATGTGTATGGAGTTTGTGATATACTTTTTCAAATGTGGAAAACTAATGATAATTGTGCTGTTTGGAAAAAAATATTTCTTTGTTCATTTTTTAATACAGGAAATTTCGGTAACTTGGCGCAAAGTTAGGAATACAACTTTTTTTTTTTGAGTTTTTCAGTACTTTGATCCATTAGTTCGCTTTAATTAGTTGCAGATATAAATATTTCATTTAAAAAGCTAACTTGACGTCAAATTAACGATACAACTATATCATCTGTTGGAAACTCCGAAGAGACTGTAGACTCCCACTAATCAATTACAAATCATCTTTGAAAGAAAATAAGTGTGTTCCGTTGTTTGCGGGTTTGAACTGATTCATTAATTGATTTGTTTTTCAAAATTCTGCTACGAATTCAAAAATTCTAATTAGCCTCATCACTTGATATACATGTATTTATCTGAAGTGATGAATTGTAAAGAGAAAATTTTTCAGATTCATACAGTACAATCCCACTTCTTTAGAACGCAATTATCGGTATGAAGTGCTAACGGAACATGATTTAGGAGTAAGCATCGATCTAATCAATAAAGATATATATGCAATTGAGCCAGGTGCATATTTAGATCCAGCCGATGAGAAGCTGTTAGAAGAAGACATTTTGACGCCTCAGGACTCTAAAAGATCTCGGCACCATGCTAAATCAGTATCATGGCTCCGCCGTACAGAATATATTTCAACAGAACAAACCCGCTTTCAGCCCCAGACCATGGACAAGGTTGAAGCCAAAGTTGGTTACAGCATCAAGAAGTCTCTTAACAATGAGACATTGTATATGGATCGTGATTCACAAATCAAAGCCATTGAGAAGACGTTTGAAGATTCTAAAATACCTATCGAGAAACATTATAGTAAGCCGAATGTGGTACCTGTTGATATTCTTCCCGTGTATCCTGACTTCAATCTGTGGAAGTATCCTTGTGCTCAAGTCATCTTTGATTCAGATCCAGCTCCAGTTGGAAAGCAGGTGCCTGCCCAAATTGAAGAAATGTCACAGGCTATGATTCGGTAAGAAATTTAGATAGCCATATGGCTTTAAAAAACATTAGGATCATCTCTGATTCAGTTTGAAAATGATTTTGAACCCTTTGAAAAGGCCCCCTGAATTCTTTGCTAGAAGAGTTTATCTCTATTATGTTTATTAAAAAATTGTCTGCAAAGAGATCATTTGCTTTTTCTGCAGAAGTTTCCATTTGTAAAACATTCGAAATTCAGATTGTAATGCATGTAAATGAAAATATCCCTCAAGCTAATAAATTCACCATGAATGAGCTGTTATCTTTATTGTTTTTTGACATAATTACTATTGAATATCAAATATTTTTCTTCATAGATTTCACCTTTTTTTTATTCAGCATGTAGTTCATAATTTAGATATATAACTTTGTAATATCTCCTAAACTAGGGAAGCTATGATGAAATGAGATATCATCTCAATAGATCTATTGAATGAACGATTGTTTCTTTTCATACAACTGTTCACGTTAGTCTAAACAATGGGGAGCATCATTACAATTGATCTCTTCTACAATCAAATATGAACTCAAAAAGTTCATAGAATACAACTGCCAATTGATTGTGTGATCAGCAATCAAGAACATGTATTCCATATATTTTATTTACTTTATATTATAATAATTAATTTAACTGCACAGAATGCATAAACAATCTTCTGGTGTGGAAATGAAGTGTAAAAAAAATCACACGACACATTTTGATTAGGGACCTATAAATAATCTATCAGAGTTGTTTTTTTTTTGTTTTTTAGGGGTGTCATGGATGAGAGTGGTGAACAGTTTGTTGCCTACTTTCTTCCTACGGAGGAAACCTTGCAGAAGCGAAGGGAAGATTTTGCAAATGAAATACCCTATCAAGATGATGAGGAGTATGAATATAAAATGGCTAGAGAATACAATTGGAATGTCAAGAGTAAAGCAAGCAAAGGATACGAAGAGAATTACTTCTTTGTTGTTAGACAAGACGGTATTTATTATAACGAATTGGAAACTAGGGTAAGACTGAGTAAGAGGAGACAGAAGATTGGCCAGGCACCCAGCAATACAAGGCTCATTGTTAAGCACAGACCAATGGATGCCAATGAGTTTAGGATGCAACGCTACAGAGAGAAACAACTTGAACCTCCGGGTAAGACTTAAGAAGATAATTTTTGGTGTTAACCTTACATATTTTTCAAATTTCCATCCTTCCTATAATCAATTGAAATCTCTCATCAGGTGAAGAAGACGAAGAAATGGAGGTAGAGGAAACACAGGAGGAGACTCAGGAAGAGACTCAGGAAGGGCAAGGCAATGACAGTCAAGCAGAATCTGATCAGGAAAACCGAGAAAAAGCAGGAAGCGGAAAGGAAGAAGGTTCACGAGCCTCTTCGAGATCTTCCAGGAAATCAAAATCCCGTTCAAGATCCCGATCCAATTCATCAGCAAAGTCACGTTCAAGATCTAGATCGAAATCAGCTTCCAAATCGAGGTCCCAATCTAGATCAAGGTCCAGGTCAAAATCTAAGTCAAGGTCACGTTCTGTATCTAGGTCTCGATCAAGATCAAAGTCTGGCTCAAAATCTCCGTCGAGATCTAGATCCAGATCTGGCTCAAAATCTCCTTCTAGATCTAGATCTTCATCTAAAGCATCGTCAAGATCTAGATCAAAGTCTAGGAGTAGATCTGGTTCTCGTTCGAGATCTAATTCCAAATCTCCTTCAAGATCTAGATCGGGTTCTAGATCTGGATCTGACAGTGAGTGAAGTTGAAAATATCAAGAGCTGTTACAGGTGTATGATGAAATTTGGATTACTTTTGAGGCTCCCTGTGAAATGCGGTCACAATTTGATGATAGTCAATATCAAATTGAAGGATCTGAGTAATTATTGAGTATTTTATTATGAAATTAAACTCGGTTATTATTTTTAGATTTGATGATGTTAATAAATATTATTATTATTATTATTATGCAAAGCATTCAGTTTATTGAGCCTTAGTTTCACTTTATTTTTAAAATTATGAGTGTTTTTGACATTAGATTTGTATTCAAATTGTGAAAAGTTTCATTTCATTATATAGATAACAATATAATTTTTTTAATAATAAGTCTTCTAAACTTTTGGGAAAGTTTTTGGCTTTCTACTACTCCATCTTAATAGAGAAAAATGTGGGAATCTTCCAAAGAAAGGAAGTATTCAATTTTAAAAGAAGTAACTGTATACATAGAAGTGTAGATCATGCAAAGTTCAGACACAAATCTGGAAGAAAAAGCCTTCCTGAAACAGCTAGTTTCATATAAACATTGAATTACATGAAAGAAAAATAATTTCAAAACAAATACTTTTATATGAACACTGAATTATACAGAAAACAATATTTTCTTCTCAGTTTGTATTCCAAACTTCATTAAAACACACATTTCATTCATAAATTACGATTTTTTTATCTCATGAAATAAGTTTCATCTACNATCTACACCTCTGTCTTGACGTACCTACACAATTATGTTGTGAATTTATCACATAAACATTTTTGTAATTTTTAAAGGTCAATAAATATCTTATGTCATTGATGACATCGTAATGACATTCATTCACCTCTTGTTATTGTTAGTATGGTGAACAAAATTTAAACTTTCAGTGGCCACTGTAATTAACATATACTTCGACAAAGGCCTGTTCTCAAATTTTCTAAAAAAATCAGTCTAAATTCCACCTCATGAAAAAGGCACTCGGGATGACCCAGCCAATTATAGACTAATTGCTCTCATTACATACACAAGCTAAAATATAAAAATTATTGAAAATCAGAGAAGCGTATTTTTTTTAAAAGCACCATCTCTGCGAGCAATTAGTTTGGCTTTCAAAGAAATACAAAAAAGGTATTTTACTAATGCTAAAAGTTTGAACTATTGTAAAAAATATTCAACGATTTTTCATCCAATACATCGTTCATGATTCTTCTAGTAGGAATCTATCACAAAATTTGGACACCAGGGACAGGAAATCATGAATAAACTGCATCAGAAATGTTGGAACTTGAGAATGCAAACCATATAATGAAGGCCAAATGAATACATTTCATTTTTCCCCATTAATTATATCAAATTATATGAATAAAAAACCAATTTGATGGTGGTTTATGACAAGCAGTAAATTTTGCAATGATGACAATAATAAATACTCATAAATAGATCCTTGCTCATTCATTAATTTGATAGGGATGCCAATATACTTTCAAAATGAAACATTTTTGTCATTTTATGTGTAAAGCAGGATATGAATAATTTCAATATCACCCTAGAAATTAAATGTCAAAAATAAATAGATATAAGTAAACAAAATAATATAACATTACAATATATACATTTCTAGTTTATTGTAATTTATAGTTTCAGATTAATGCAACATATACAAATTCTAGTAGTCTAGATATCTTGATCCAGAATAGTTCATTTGTAATTTTGCCTGGCCAATTCTGGATTGAACTGAGAGTTATATCGTGACTTATGAGAATGAATTCCGCTACTTCTATCTTGTTCCTTTGTCTTACCACCCCCTTTAAGTTTCAACAAGAGCATTTCGGTTTTAATCTTCTCTTCAGCTTCCCGTTTTAACCGTTTCGCTCTTAATAACTCTAAAGTCTTCATTTTTTCATCACTTGTATGGCTTTCCAAGCTTTCACTTTGGTGTTTTCTTTTGATTCCTTTACGCGCCTGTTCCTTTGTCCTAGTGGAGCTTTCACAGAGGAGTCTAGACTGCTGCAAGTCACTATCTGAATTTGATTTAGAATTCTTCCCTAGAGCAGTACATCTATGCATGACTTGTAACGGATCTTCTCTGATTTTACTCTTCAAATTGGTCTCGCCTTTCACATCTGACCTATCTGGTGCCACATCGTACCAACTTTTTTTACCCAATGCTTCATTCGTGTCCTGTCCCAAGTAGGTCAAGTAACCAATTTGCTTCTCGTACTTCTCTCGTTCCTCTTTCTTTTCTTTATCATGTTCAGTATTCGTTTGTTTTGTTTCTTCTGTACCTCTCTGTAAGTCCTCGAAGAGGTTAACATGTTGATTCACAACAGATTCCTGTTCTTTTTCTGGTTCATGTGTATCAATTTGGGAGAATTTACGGCTTCTCTCTAGAAGTAATGCTCTCCTTGCCTCTTTTTCAGCAAGTTTTATTCTATCTTGTCTTATTTTCTCCTGTTCAGCAGCAGCAGCTTCGTCTCTTCGAACTCGGGCAATATTTTCTCGGGTACGGACGTGCCATCGTTTCTTTGGTAAAATATTCATAGCGCATATATGAACAAAATAGAAATGTAAATAAATATATTCAACTCATTTGCGATTTACTTGACATTTGCCTAATTTGACAAAACAATATTTCTCATGTATACATTCCTTGCTTCTCATTTGGGTGCATTTGGCCAAGCTCTCCTGTTCATAGATAGTAAACAGGAGCTTTGTACAGTGGCACAGCATAGGTACAGGGTACAGAGGCGTATCGATGACGATGATCGATGGTCTTGCTAAAGGCAAGGCAATGCTGCCACCTTAAGCTTTTTCATTCCCTTCTTTTTTCAAGAAACACACTTTATTTTTTACTGGTTGCCTCCTTTCCGGGAGGCCTTTGGATAAAAATAACACAAATATACATGTTCATATATTTTATGGAACTGACGATCTCGACGATATTCATCCTGCTTACTGGCGTAGGGGGCCATCTTTCACTTCAATATTTATTCAAACATAACTTTATTTTATATTACACCTTTTGGACTTCACGACATCCACGTGCCATATTTGAGGGCGGTCGTGAAGTCAAGTAAAGTTAGGTTGTAGTATAAAAGAAAATGTTTAAAGTCATGAAAATTGAAACTTTTTAACGTTACTGTAGTTTTGTACTATGATGAGATTTTCAAACGAATGAAAATGTCCTTGTAGAACCCAACTGCAGTAACGTTTGTTACAAATACAAGTGGTATAAGAACATTACATCAATTAATTATTTTTTCATGATGATCTCCTACCACGTAGTAACGGTTACATTCATCAAGTCAACGTTTTAAGTCTGAAATTTAAGTCGGAATTTTCAGAATAAATTATAGAAAGCAAAAGTTAGGTTTTTTCTCCAATAACCAGTGAGTTAAATTCCAAGTTTCGCATTTTGAACCCTGGTTTTGAAGTATTCCAATATTTGACATATGTGATAACATAATTTTATTTTATATTACACCTTTTGGACTTCACGACATCCACGTGCCATATTTGAGGGCGGTCGTGAAGTCAAGTAAGTTTCGCATTTTGAACCCTGGTTTTGAAGTATTCCAATATTTGACATATGTGACGTTATTGACGAAATTTCACTACGAGGAAATTGAATGCTTTCAACTAATTGAAACAATTTCACCTCAAAAAGAGCTACATAGTTTTAAAATTATTCAGTAACTGACAGACGCGACGTCATGCATGTGTTCTAAAAGTAACTAGAAATGTAGTTTGTTGGTTCTATATTGACCACCATTGTGGTATTACTGAGAAACCGGTTAAATGTGAAATACGGTTTCTTGAAAACTGGTAAACCAAACACCAAAATACTAACCAATAATTTTGTTGTGATGAGAGTGGAAATTGGCAGATAATGGGATTATATTATTATTTGAACGGGTAATTGTTATACGGAACGGTTACTTTTATGTTGTTTTGAAAAAAAACAACTGTTTTGTTTTAATTGAAAAATTAAACTCATATCTTATAGATTTGAATGTTTCAATAGTAGTTAGAAATGTGGTTTGGTATTTTTAAAATCACTGATATTGTGTTTCTATTGACAAACCGGTGAGATATAACACGGTTTCCTGAAACTGGTGAAAAGTTGAGATTGACAATTGTCAAAAGGTACCCTCGACCATTTTTATGTTGTTTTGGGAAAAACAAAAATTTTTCGAACCAAATATTTTCGCATTTAGAGAGTGAAAAATCATATCATATTTTTACATATCTATATGAGTTGATGTTTATAGCATTTCAACATTACCACTTTCTAAAAAAATTATTAACATTTTGTTGGCGTAAGCCACTTGCTTTATCGGCTCTTCAGTAGCAAATACGGATAACACAAGACAAACAATAAATTCGTTTATAATTATGACTTTTTGTCACGGAATGGATTAAATCCATCGACTGTCTGGCGTGGAGGATGACAGTATTCCATGTAGGTGAAATTTTACTTCTTTCATTAATTATATTGTGTGGGAATCCTGTTAATAATATCTGATTCGATTCCATACCAATGTTTGGAATACAAACGGAATAGAGAAAATTGTTTTTCGTATAATTCAGTCTTCATATAAAAGTATTCGTTTCTGAAGAATTTTCTTTCATGTAATTCAATGTTTATATGAAAATAACTGTTTCGGGAGGGCTTTCTCTTCCAGTATGTGGCTGAAAGTTACTTCTCTGCATGATTTACACATCTTTGTATAGAGTTAGGTTTTGAAATTGAATACTTCCTTGCTTTCTTTGGAAGATTTCCACTTTTTTTCTATCAAGATGGAGAAGTAGAAAGCCAAAAACTTTCTTTCCCAAAAATTAATCTCCTCTTAAAATATACCCTTTCAATCAAAACTCTCTGTTTTTCACCACTTATATTATTTATAACTTACGTTGTGTTTTTTGTAAGTTTATTCTATTCGTTTGAAGATGTCCTAATAGGACGAAACTGCAGTAACGTTAGTTACAAATACAAATTTCTCATTTTTCATGATGATCTACCACGTAGTAACTAACGACTGCATCCATAAATTGTTATAGAGAAAATTAAATTAGTGTGAACAAAACACACCTATTGACAACCGAATACGGTTGAAATTCTGTAGTCAAAATTTCATGAATTATAATTATAATTACCACAGAATATTTTTTGGTATCACAGATCACCGTATTTACCGTTTACCATTTACCAGTAATCAGTGATTTGTTTGAAAGCGGCTTGAATTCCATAACCAAAGTAAATTATTTGTGTTTTGCGAATGTTGGACATGAAGTTTCAAATTATAAACCTATTTAAATTAAAACTCTTATGATCTTTGACTCAATTCTTCAATAACTTGGAGTCCAATTGAAAATCAGAAATAATTTTCAACAGCTGAGATGCTCTATTATACCTACTTTATGAGAAAAGAAGGTTTCCAATTCAATATCACTATTTAACTTCAGTGAGACATTCCTTAGCAAGGAACTGATGGAAAACAATTTATTTCAAATCGAGGAAGGTAGAAATGGATGAAATAATAGATCTCACAGATGTAACTCAAATTTGTAGAATCTGTTTAAAACAGAAAGATGATCTTTCACCCTTGGATACTGTAATGAAGTTTGAGGAAAAAGGGTACCCATCAATTAACGTACTGCAGGCACTGGTATCGTTAACATCTATTCCAGTAAGTAAAATATTCAAGTAAAGTTCTTGTTAATAGGTTTTGGTGTTGAGTTGGGGTAGATTCATGCATCAATCTTGGGTAGTATGTCACAACTGAGAAAGTTTAAGCATTCAATCATTAATTTTCAGTAGCGACATTCATGAGGAAGAATAGATATTATCTCAAACATACTTAAGCTGGATAATGAAATTGTAAGCCATTCCTTAAAAACATAAAGTGCCAGTTTAATGTGCATTTTTTTTCATAAATGTCACATCGTAAACCCAACAACGAATCTTCAACTCAAAAGATGGATAAAATAAAAAAAATCACAGAAGTTTTCTAGTTTTGTGCATGCAGAATGCAAGCTTGCAATGTTTATTGTGTGTGATTTATGAAATGATCATATGTTAATATGCGCCAATGCTTGCGTTAACATAATGTCCATTGTGATGCTTGCGTTACTGTATGTCCATTGTGCAACTTATTCTATAACTCCAGCTTTATTCATTTCATTTATTATTAGTAAAAATTCACATGTGCACCGAAAAAATAAACAAATTGAATTGACTTGAATAGACCTTGACTCAATTCTTGGTACTTATATGAATAGTTATTTGATCACCTCTTCTGCAACTCTATTTTTAAGTAGGTTCTTTTCATTCTGTGTCAAATCCGCTCCACTATCTTTTCTATCTAGTTTTGTAATTGCTACTTTTAGTTTTTGTTGAAATTCTGTTTTGTGTAAAAGTAGTTTATACTTTTACCTTGCCTCAAGTTTTGATTTTGTTGAAAAACTTCTGGGTTTTCTGTTATTGGTTTAACATAAATGATTTAATTTTTTTCATTATCTTTTCCTATATTCCCTAATATATATTCATGATGACTGTCCAGTTAGATACCCTATCAAATGGGTTTTTCTACGTCTACAAAAGATATAATCATTTTATTTTCTGCTTCTCACTGGGGATTTCGTACTATTTCTTATAGTAGTTCTCTGTTCCTCTTTGCAAATTTTGTTCCTTATGTGTATTTTCATCATTTACTAGAAATTATGTATGAACATAACATAATTCAGTGCATTGGTATAGCCACTAAAATTTTTTTCGAAATATTCCATTAACCTATTATCATTGTTTCATTAGTTCAATTTCTGAAATTTTATTTGTAATGTGTTTGGCGTTAGATGTTTTTTTTTCTTTGGCTATTAACAAACTTCATAGTGGTCGCTCCCTCGTTAAAAATGTATCAAAATATTATTGAAATTGATGTAATTTCAGGTTGAAGTTGGGCCAAATCTTCCATCGAATTTATGTTGGAAGTGTCTAGAATTGACGAAATCTGCATTCCTGTTCAAGTCCAAATATGAAAAGTCAGTATCCATTCTGAAAATTGTCACTTCAAATGTATTTAAAATCAATAAGGTTGCCTCTGACTACCAGCAGAAAGTTTGCAATATTCAGAAGTCCTCTTCTGCACAACAAAAAAATCAGGTCCTTCAAGAAATTTTACAACAACAAGCTAGTGAACAGAATGGCGAAAATTTATTGTCACCATCTTGTGAACCAGCTAACGAATCGAATGAAGAATATGAGCAAGAACAAAATGAATCGTTGAAAACTGAATGCAACGATACGATTGAGGAGAAACCTAAGCTACATCCATGTCCAATATGCGTAGTAGAATTACCAGCATTAGAACTTCGAGAGCATATTCACAGTCATCGATCGCTCAAAAGCTATTTAAGCGTGCCAAAAGTCTCCCCGAATGCAAGATTTTTTACAAATCCCAAGTCGAGTAGGTTTGTCCAACAGAAAAACAGGTTGCACACTTGCCCAAAGTGTGACGAAAATATATCAGCGTCAGAATTTCAGCAGCATATACAAAGTCGGCATCGTTTCGAAAATAAGTTTTCCTGCGACAAGTGTGACCGAACCTTTGACAGAGTCAACTATTTGAATATCCACCGACTCACACACATGAAAGAATATCCGTTCCAATGTAAAGAGTGCAACAGAGGTTTCGTTGTGAAAAAAAATTACGAGTGCCATCTGCTGAAGCACAGAGACATTTTACTCCACTCTTGTGAATTTTGCTCTAAAAGGTTTTCAAATCCTGAACATTTACATCGCCATCGAACTGTACATACGGAAAATATGACTTACGGGACTAAATACAAAAGTAAGCGGTGTCGAAAATGTTTGCTCGTTTTCGATAAAGATAATGTTCGTGGTGATCACGACTGCAATGCTAATATGGTCACCTGCAGGTTCTGCAGTAAAGTTTTCAAGAATATCAGCTCGATGTACAGTCATCTCCAAGCTGTGCACAGAAAAAAGAAGGGTCTGTGTTCGATTTGCGGTGTCAAGTCCAAAAACATTGCTATTCATATGCGTCTCCATACAAAAAGCCAAAAACAGAAATCGCAGTATATGAGAGGGCTATGCTCTATTTGCGGAATTTATGTTGCCAATATTTACAATCACATGGCAAGGCACAACAACTCCAGGATTCATAAATGTTCTCAGTGTTCCAGAGCTTTTTGTACTCGACAGGGTCTTATCAAGCATCAGAAGACTCATACGGGGGCAAAGCCTTATAGTAAGTTGAAAAGTATTGGTTTCATTTGTACAAAAATACAATACCCTCATAGGGTACAGAACGTGCCAAATTGGATAAATAAATATCAATATAATAGGTCTTTTGAAAAAATAAGGTAATGTTCAAATTTTGCGGGCTATGTACGTTTGATTTGCGATTTTTTTATAGTAGTTCACTCGTCTCAAACATATGTTTATCATTTTTAGTTTGATCGTGAGAGGCATAAAAGTTAGAACTGTTTTACGTGTTTGGCAATTTTCTGCAATCGAAAAAAAAATGGATCAAAAAATTTGCGTCAAATTTTGTGTAAAAAATTGAATTTAGTACTTAAAAACAATTGAAATGTTGACAGTGGCATACGGTGATTGTACTCTGAGTCAGAAAAATGTTAACAGCAGGTAACAAACTCTTCACATAAGGTTGGGAAGATGTGAATGATAATGCTCGTCTTGGACGCCTGAAGGCATCCTAGTTATGATTCATCGGTATATACAATACAATACTTTAATTTTCCTGAGACTTTTTTTGAAGCATGGAAATCGTCACATACACAGTAAAGATTGGAGTTGAAAAATATCAAGTGATGAAATATGGAATATACATAAAAAAACTTGAATCAATAGCAGATGTAGGAGATAATTATATAAAACAATTAAAAAAAAGCTTAATATAAACAGTAGAATAGTAAACAAGCAAACAATCATGATGTCAAGCAGTCAGATCAGTATGAAAATATTCATCAAGTGAATAAAAGGCATTTTTGTAGAGAATATTTTTAACGCTATTTTTGAAATATATGGGATTTGAAATTTTCTTAATGAATGTTGTCCATTTGATATAGATGTTAATTTGTGTATAGGAACTATCAGATTATAATTTTGTCTGAGACTATAACCAGCAGCTATGCAGATAGTATCCCTATTCTGAAACTCATGGCAATGATTCTTAATGTAAGTGACACAATTTAAAATATACATGGATATCACAGTTAAAATTCGTAACTCGGTAAATAACTGCTTACAAGAATCACCATATTTTTTGAAACACACGGTTCTTAGTATCTTTTTTTGAGCAATCAACATATCATTCAATTTGCTGCAGTTACCGTAGCAGACTAAGCAATAATTTAAACTTGAGTGAACATAGGCATAGTAGTAGCTTAATAAAATATTAATGGGGACAGAATTTCAGATTCCAAATAACAAAACAATGCTTGGATAATTTAATAGAAATAGAGTCAATATGATCATTCCGGGATAATTGGGAATCAATGTTCAACCCTAAGAATTTGACTGATTTTTTCTGCACAATAGATTTAGTATTAGCTCTTACCAATATACTGCAATCCATTTCTCTAATCGAGAAAACAATGGTATTTGATTTATTGCTATTTAGTACGAGGTCAGATAACCCTTCACAAGAAGAAGAACTCAATAAGAAAGACGTGTCATCTGCAAACTGTACAGTACAATGTTGTTGATTAATATTAGAGATGTCTTTGACGAATAAGAGAACACCTGTTGAGATGTTACGTTTTTCAGAATGATATATTCCAGATTTGAGCCTAACCTTAACAGATTGTGATCTGCCAGTCAGATAAGTCTTGATCCATTTTAGACTTTGGCCGCGAACTCCAGTATCATAAAGTTTATCGAGGAGAAGTTGATGGTTGATGGTATCAAATGCACGTGACAAATTAAATAGAATACTGATCGATTTTTCGCCATTTTCAAATTTGAATAAAATATGATTGACCAAAGAAAGAGTAGCATCTTGGGTAGATAAACCAGATTAGAATCCATATTGGCTCTTTGCGAGTAGGTTATACTTTTTACAGAAGGATATGAGTGTTGAGATAGGATTTTTCGAAAATTTTTGAAAATGAAGATAGCAATGCAATGCCTCTGTAGTTGGAGATTAGGTGCTTATCATTTTTCTTGTGAACAGGAAATTCAATAGCATGTTTAAGACACGAGGGAAATGAACCCTCAATGAAAGAGAGATTAAGTAGGTACGTAAGTAGTTCAATGATTAGTTCAGCAACATTCAACAATACTCTGCCTGGTAATTCATCAATGCCACTAGAGTTCTTAGACGTTATGGACTTGATGATATCAAGAAGTTCAGTTTCGTCTAAAGGATGAAGAAAAAAAGAGTCTGTTTTTATATCGTGTACCACCATGAACCCGAGTTCCATCATCATTTTCAAAATAATTCGGAAAACAATTTCTCATATTATTGGATGTTGTATTCTGTTTAATTATACTCCGGGCAACTTTAAATTTGTTATCAGCTACAAGAAATTTGTTACTGAAATACTCTTTTTTTTGAATGGTCAATTTTTTTTCTATGATTCTTCAACATAATTTTGTATTGCTCATTAACGATTTCATCACATTGATTTCTGTTCAGATTGAAAACATCACGAAGAAGTATACCTTCATTGATGATTTCCTTGGTGATCCAGGGTTTGCCTTTAGGAAGGTGGGAATGCTTTGTCAAATAGATTGAGGAATAAGGGTAGAATTTGGAAAATTTAGTGTCAAACTCAATGATGTTAAGATATACGAAGTTCCAAGATTCACATGACAGTAATGTTCTAAATAATAAATATTTTGGTCATTGAACGCTCGTTTGAGAGTGTAATAGGGCTCATCAATAGAGCAAGATTTAATTGAAGGTTTAATAATTTGTAGTTCATGGTCAGAAAAATCAGAATGAATGACAATAGGGGGAATTTGGCAAGTGGTGGTCGAGAAAATATTATCGACTGTTGACATACTGCTTCCCTGTATTCTCGTGTAGTCAAAAATACATTGATTTAATCCATATGAAACGAGACGATTGCGAAGGTACTTTGCGTTTCTGTCATTGGAATTTAAGATGAAAGTTGAAATTGAAGTCACCACAAATAAATGCCATTGATTGATATTTGTTTCCAAGTAATAAATCTGAAAATTCATCCATTTTTGGTAGGAACATTGTATTGTCAGTAGACGGAGGTCTATAATGACAGCTGATAAGAAATTTAGAATTGTAAGCAGTTATTTCAGTAGCAACATATTCGAAGATATCTTCGACTTGCGAGATATTTTGTAGTTGTGATGAGATTTAACGAATATGGATTGATATGGTTAAGACATTGACACCAAAGTTCAATCGTCCCAATGGAAAAGCACAGAAGTGCCAAGACCAATGAAAGCATGCAAAGCTAGATCAAATTTTAAGGTTTTGCTCACTGTTTCCTTCTATTATTGTGGCATAGTGCATCAGAAATTATTTTCACATGATCGTGCCATCAATACGGAGTATTATTTTGAAGTTATGTGCCG